GAAAAAAGATTGAAAATAAATATTTGCTATTATTGTTGCATGAAATAAAAAATTGTAGTTATGAATATTTTTTTAAAGAGAAAACGTTAAGAACTTTGTTGTAGTATTGCTAATTTGGCTTATCAACAATACTTTTTATCAAAATTTTGTGTCACGGGTGCCTGAAACTCATAGTTTTGAGATTCGGAAGCTTTGGGGACCACATGCATTAACATTATATGCAACACCAGTGTGAAGAGTCGCACAGCCCACTCAGTGATTAAATTATTTTATTATATAAAATTTGCAATCAAGGATGCATTGGATACTTCAGTTAAGTAAAAACACCCCATCAGAAATGCAAATAATAAGTAAACAGATCTCAACAAAAACCATGAATGTCAACTTTTTGATTGTCGCAGGATACATCCTCTGGGAACCATGAATGCCCATTTCATGATGGTCATCAGTCATAACTTTCTTGATGAGGTTTATTTCAATGCTGGCATGCTTTAAAGCTATTTTTTCCAATCAACCACAATCTCAGATGGATTCTCTCCACAGATTGATTTTCTAACATGCTGATATTCAGAGGTTTGTAATGTCTTCTGTGCTTTCTATGTCTCAGATGTGTGCTTTCCAAGGACTGACATGGACGGTTAGATCCAGAGAGGCAGTGACACGCAGGTCTCAGCGAGATGTCCCTTGGTGGAAACGCAAGCCTGTCTTCCTTATCAGCATCACCTCTGCACCTCAACAGCTCCACCTCCCCGCTTTCTCTGCTGTGGGAGAAGGAAAGTGCCAGTAATGAGTCTCTTCAGGACTGGCCTGAGAACAGGACCCAGCTTATCTCGGACCTTTCCGTTCTCGAGCATGATGAGCAGTGCTACATGTCCCCTGTCCTCACAATGTGTCTAGTAGTGTGGTACAGCATTACGATGGTGCTGGGCCTAGTGGGGAACGTTGGGCTCATCTGTATCATTGCCCATCGCAGAGAGAAAGTGAATGTCACCAGCATTTTCATCTGCAACCTGTCATTCTCTGATATTCTGATGTGTGTCTTCTGCCTCCCCTTCACTGTCATTTATACACTCATGGACCACTGGGTGTTTGGGTCGCTGCTGTGCCGACTCGTGCCATTCATTCAGTGCGTTTCTGTGACTGTTTCCGTGCTGTCGTTGGTGTTCATCGCTTTAGAGCGACATCAGCTCATCATCAACCCCTCTGGATGGAAACCAAGCATTCCTCAGGCCTACGTGGTGGTCATTCTTATTTGGATTCTTGCCAGCTTCACCTCCACACCCTTCTTGGCCTTTCAGCTGCTCACGAATGAGCCATATAAAAATTTAATCCTGCCGCTCCATCAGATGTCGCCGCATGCTTATCTCAATACATCGCCTCCCCAGTATGCCTCCAACACATACAAAAACTCAACCACGCCTCTAAATATGTACCGCTCCCTCTTTTCTTATGTACCCACCTCCCCACACATGGAAGCTTGTGTGGAGCACTGGCCCTCTGCAGAGCACAGGATCGCTTATACCACCTGGCTCCTGCTGTTCCAGTACTGTGGCCCACTGTTGCTGGTGCTGCTCTGTTATGTCAGGGTTTTTGTGCGCCTTCGCCACCGCAAAGACATGCTGGATCGTGCCAGGACCCCAGAGAGCCAACACATGACCCACAGCCGTCGAATCAACATCATGCTGGTCGCTCTCATAACAGCGTTTGCTCTTTGCTGGCTTCCTCTCACCATCTTCAACGTGCTGGCAGACTGGAACCTGGAAGCTCTGCCTATCTGCCACCACAACCTCCTGTTCTCCCTCTGCCATCTGCTGGCCATGTCCTCCACCTGCATCAACCCCATCATCTATGGATTCCTCAACTCCAACTTTCGCCAAGAGGTGCGAGAGGTGCTACTCCACTGCCGCTACGTCCCACAGGAAGAGGATGGTGAGCGCTTCCCCATGTCCACAGTGCACATGGAAGTGTCCCGCACATCTGTGCCTCTCCAGTGCAGGAGCAACTCAGTCTGACTGTGATGCTGCAACATATCAGGCCACTATTTAAACATGTACACAACCGTACAGCCGTAGTGTTTTAAACTCTTGTTTTGTCAGCAGTTGAAGTGAAATGTCTGATAATGTGTTTTTTTCTTATTCTGTACAACTTCAAAATTTAAAAAAAAAATGTGTGTTGATGGGGGGGGGGGGGGGGGTGTTGTCATATTTTGAAAAAGAGCATATAGATCTGTTGTGGAAACGTAAACTACATTATGCCACACTGACAGAAAAAGAACAACTAAGGTGGAGCCTTGTAGTAATTTTTTAATTCCGTCACTTTTTTACATTTAAGGCATTTGTGAAGTGAAAGCTTTTATCATTAAGAAAGACTTGGTCTGTTTTGTGATTACTGTGACTAAAAAAGATTAAGAAAACGTGCTTTGCAACATAGTTTGAATTTGCTTTGGTTGACTTCAAGCATTCATCATGGGTATTTTTATTTGGCTATATAATACAATTAAACTGTATAATTTTCTTTTATGATGGAAATAATGCGAGGAATGACTACATTTTTAATTATATTGCATGCAACTTTAATTCATCAGTCTAATTCTAATGCTTGCTTTTATTGTGTGACAATGTAGGTTTCTGAGTTTATTCAGAAATGATTTATTTAATAATCCTACAAGTGGTTTTCCTAATTTATTCACTACTAAATAATTTCTTTATTGTTGCCTTGCTCATTTCTGTCTTGTAAAATAAACAGCAAAAGGAAATAAAAATAGTACACAAAGGGAAATTATTTGTTGCTGTAACTCATTATCCTCATTTCATTAAGAGATGTTATAGATACTGATGGCTGTAGACAGGAAGGATCTCTTATAAAGGTCCATCCCCCAGTGGATCCTAAGAAACTGGCTGCAGATGCAGATCTGTCCACCCAGATTCGACTGGCCTCTCGGCTTCCCCGGGCTGCAGGACTGCCCGAATGCCGGGCAGAACTCCTCCCAGAGCGATGGCCATTCCTCCCAGCAGCCCGCTGAGCCCCTCGTCGCTGTGGACAGACAACCGCAGGTGCCGAGGGACGATCCCGTCCTTCCGCTGTCATGAGCCATGCTTCCTGCCAGTTCCAGGATGCCCGGCACTCAAGCACAGCTGGCAGGTAGATGAGAATGCATCCACAGAACATCTTTTTCAACTCATTTGAGATTTGGGGCTGTAGTTGAGATATTATTTGAGCCTTTGAGATGTTAATCAGCTGCTGTTGGTTGTAGAAAACTGCTTCGTTGCTATGGTTACGCATCATAACAAATGTCCAAAACTAAAAAAGTTTCAGTAAAAATCCTTCCAGCTGCACAGCATCTGATACCAGAAGAAACAATCATCCAAAAAATGTGACTTACATCCAGAAAAAGAGGAATTAAAGTTTCCAAAAGCAAAATCTCAGAATGAAAGTAACAAAGCTGCTCCAATGTGCAGCCACCTTGAGCGGCGCAATTCAGGAACTCAAAAAAAAAATTAATATTCCTAAAATTCCTAAAGGACAATTTTTACAATTATAAATGCAAAATATTAAAAGAATGGTCACAAATGAAAAAAGTTGCCTTATATGACTTTAGGTTGTTTGCGTTGTGATTATATCTTTATGTATTTACATTTTTAACTATGTTTCTGCAGTCCAACCAAGGTTATTGAGAGGTCATTGCCATTGTTACTTGGGTGGTCAGAAGCCAAAACATTTTTGAACCGTTATTCTAAATCACCTTGTAAATTTATGAATAACTTATTTTGATGTCCAGCTAAAATAGATTCAATTCAATTCAATTCAAAAGTACTTTATTAATTAATTTTATGAAGAATCCTTCTTTGTACAATCATCTCCAAAGGTTCTAGAGGAGTCCCCAGAACTGAGCCAGCCTTCCTTATGAGCTTGTTGATCTTTTTAAGGTCACTTGCTCTGGTGCTGCTCCCCCAGCAGATGATGGCAGAAGAGATAGTGCTCTCTACAACAGGCTTATAGAAGATATGCAGCATCTTGCTGCAAATGTTGAAGGACTTCAGCTTCCTCAAGAAGTAGTCTGCTCTGTCCCTTCTTGTAGATGGCTTCACTGATGCATTTCCAGTCCAGAGTGTTGTCCAGGTGAACCCCAAGATATTTATACTTCTCCACCACCTCCACTTCTTCTCCCATGATGTAAATAGGGTTAGACCTGTTTCTGTTTCCACACCATGCCACATAGTGGTCCACCAGTTCCCTGTACTCAGCTTCTTGTCCATCTCTGATACACCCGATCACTGCAGAGTCATCTGAATATTTCTGCAGATGACAGGAGTCTGTTTTGTACTGGAAATCTGAGGTGTCCAGAGTGAAAAGGAATGGTGAGAGTACAGTCCCCTGTGGTGCTCCTGAGCTACTGACCACCTGGTTAGACACACAACCCTTCAGTCTCACAAACTGTGGTCTGTTTGTCAGGTAGTCTTTGATCCAGGTGATTGTTGAGGCCTCCACCTGAGTCTTCTGGAGTTTCTGACAAAGCAAAGCAAGTCTACATCGTGTCACAAGTGCACCAGTTTTTCAGATTCTGTTTGAGAAAAGTTTCTACAAATTATCTACTAAAAATACTGCACTGATTAAACAAATAAATAAACAAACAAATGCATTGTTTTGTTTGTTTATTTATCATAAATTTATTATTTATTTATCAACAAATAAATGAACAAACAAATAAAATAAATAAATAAATACAATTCAAGCCTAGAGTCCAGAGCCCTGTAAAGAGAGCTCTTTACAGGGCTCTGCTAGAGTCCATTTCAAATAAAAAAAAAAAAAGCACCTCTTTTGTAACGGAAGTGACGTAGGAACTATCAGCCAATGATTTCAAGTGTATCCCAGAATTCTTTGCGATTCAAACTGCAAGCGCCAACGACGTGCAAGGTTGTGAGTTTAGTTCAGTTTAGTTCTTCTTAATAAGCTTCAGACCTCCCCGTCACGTAAAGTAAGTACTAAACAGGTGCCGAGAGCTGACAGCTTGGTACTTTAGAGCTTTAACGTTTAAAATTCGTGAGTAATGCGTATGCCATCGTTATACGGAAGTAATAATCGTTTCATGCTAGCTAACAATGCTAACAAGTACTTACAAACAAACAACACGTTATTAGTTTAGTGTGACGGAGCTTTAGGGCCACGCTAAGAAAAAATACATTATGAATGAGAATAAAGTCATAGTATTACGAGAATATAGTCGTACGACAATAAAGTCATATTTGATGTTAATATTGTGTTCATTGCTGCTCTCGGGTACTGGTTTTCTTACAGTTTTCTTTATTTGGTAGCAAAATGAAAATCTACATTGCAAGCAAGCCAGTCCTGTAGTAGACTGGTATGATTGTGGTTTTACTTAAAAATGCATTCAAATTTTTGCTTAAAATAAAAAAAAATTGTGCTGTTATACTCTATTATCTGATTGAAATATCTGATCAACACAAAATACATGTATGATTTATAGTGGTTTTATATCCCTTTAATCAGATTGCTGTGTTAAATGAATCACAGCAAGTGCCACCATGACCTTTTCTGTTGTACAATTCTATCTTTTTTAGTAACTGTTTCTTGGCGATAAAGATGTCAGTGATGACCTCAAGCAACAAATCTTCAGTCCTTAAAGGTATATTGGAGGTCTTTGATTTTACTACTTGTACAAATCCATGATTAGCTTGTTGTTACTGAGTGTATTGTTTCTGCTCAATGTGTCTGCAGACGTTGTTGCCTATGTTGATGTGTGGTCATCAGAAAAAAGAGCAAACTATTCAAACATTTTCATTCAGCAACTGGAAGAAATTGGAGCTGAGGTAAAATGGCTTTTTTTGCACAACTGTCTTTGTTCAATTTACATACTGTGCTTTAACTCGAGCTTATTTTGTTGAAAGGTGTCACAAAGATTTAACAAACGCGTCACACATGTAGTATTCCACAATGGTCATCCGGCTACATGGAGAAAAGCAAAAAATGGTGACATACGACTTGTGTCTGTTTTGTGGGTAAAAAGGTGAGAGTAATTTTTCAGAGATTTTTTTTAAATTTTCATTTATTTGAACAATTTGGCTCTATCATGATGCATCGCCATAAAGTTCACTGATGTTTGTTCTTTTACTCCAATGTCTTTAGTTGCTATGAAAATGGTGTCCATGCAGATGAGGAGTTATTTCCAGCCTTAAATGATGAAAGCAATCCAGTGATGAAGAACAGGAAGGTGAGTTAGTTCAAATTTACATCTGATTAATATTTATGCATTTATTGCAGGTTAATGAGGTTTTATAAACCGCAATCTAAATAAAATGACTTGTGTGATCAAATAAATAATTGCCAGCGTTAACAATATTTTCCAGAGGTGGAAACACACAGGTTACATCATTTATTTTATTAGATTATTTATTTATAAGTCCAGAATTGAATTCAAAATCTTACTTCCTACAAAGCTCTCAACAACCTAGCTCCATCTTATATTCGAGATCTTATTGTTCCATATTATCCTAACAGAGCACTTTGCTCTCAGACTGCAGGCTTACTCGTGGTCCCTAGAGTTTTTAAAAGCAGAATGAGAGGGAGATCTTTCAGTTATCAGGCTCCTCTCTTGTGGAACCAACTTCCAGTTTTTGTTCGTAGGGCTGACACATTGTCCAGTTTTAAGACTCGGCAGTCTGGGTTTAAGACTTTCCTTTATAAATCCTATAATTAGGGTTAGCTTGTTATGCTGCTATAGGCTTAGTCTATTAGAGGACAAACTGACCTCATTTCCTTAAATGAATTGTTAAAATTGAATAGTTTTCATTTTATATTATTTCTATCTTAACATGTGATTCTTGACCTGCCATTGTGTATCTGTTCCTACCAAACCCAGCCGGTCGAAGCAGATGGCCGCTTGTCCAGAGCCTGGTTCTGCTAAAGGTTTCTTTCTCATGAGGGAGTTTTTCCTTTCCACTGTTGCCTTCATGCTTGCTCAAGATGAGAGTTCTGCAATGAAGTTAAACTCAAAGCAGTCTGATCCTCAGATAAATAGTGTTAAATTATTATTTTTTATATATGAATGTTTCTGTTCAGTGCCCTGAGATAAATTCTCTTGTGACTTTGCACTATATAAGTAAACTGAATTGAACTGAACTTTATTTTAATCATTCATCTTCTTTTGGCGTTTTCCTCTTCAGGGGTCGCCACAGTGAGTCATTCTCCTCCATCTTATTCAGTCCTCTGCATCCTTTGTCCTCACTCCACCTAGATGTCCTCTCTAACTACATCCATATATCTCCTCTTTGTATTTTTCCCGGCAGCTGCATTTCTAATAACCAATATACCCACTGTCCCTCCTCGGGACATGTCCAAACCATCCCAGTCTTATTAATTTTATTCAGATATTTGTATGTATCTGTTGAGCCATCCAAGAGGTTCCCAGCTCGGACTCCTTCAGAAGTAGTAACTCTATCTCAATAAATCAAGGAAATGTGAATTCAGTTTACCAATTGTATTAAATCAAGGCAGGAAAAGGTTACAGTTTACAGCGCTGGCCTCTCCGATACAATGTGATGCGAGATCAAGGACTGGAAGGGGTGGATGACACATTGCCTTACAACTATATTGGGCCTAGGCTCCGCCTTCTTCCGGGAGCGCAGTCTATCATGTGGATAAGAGGGGCGGACTAAGTGCAATCTCATTAGCTCTTATGTGGTCTGATGTGTCAGGAAAAATAACGGGATGTAGAAAAGCCTCTCTGTGTGGTTTGGCGAGCCAATAAAGAAATGATAAATAAATACAAATCTATTCTTTGACAGATACAGAATCCCTGGGAGACTTTTTTCTTTTTTAGAGTTGCTGGCCCTGTTTAAACCGGTCAGAACTGGGTCATAATCCTATTACAATCCGTCTCTGAGCAGATCGAAAACCCAGGGTCACGGTCTAGATAAGATATTTCTATCATATTGTAATTTCCGGATTATAAGCTGTTACTTTTTTCATACTCTTTGAACCCTGCGGCTTATACAATGCTGCGGCTAATTTATGGATTTTTTTTGACGGGCTAACGAGCTTCGTTCCACCAAAACATTTATTCTCGTCACACCTGAGCGCTCGCATAGTTGCCCAATACACGGCTCTTGGGGTATGGGTCCTTGTGACTTAATGAGACTACCTGTATAATAATTTTTCTTCTTTTGGCTGCTCCCTTCGTCAGGGGTCACCACAGCGAACTAATTTGCACGAAGACTTTGCAAACTACCTGTTTAAATAAAGGTTTAAAAAAAATGTGAACAATGAAATTACCTAATGGGTCACAGTGGACCAATGAAACGGGGAGGGGAGGAGAGAACGGGGGATTCCTCTGCATGTGAGGGGGGACTCCCCTGCATGTTCAGAGCTACTTTTGCTCAAGTCTGCCGATAGATCCCGACATCCGAGCAGGAGCACAGCACAAGCTTGTGCAGGAGGAATATGAAGATAACAATCAATGACTTCCTGGTAGGCTACTGTATTTTTTTTTTTTTACCAGCTGTGTTGCAGGTATTGTTCAGGAAAAAAAAACATTTACTATATGTATTTGTGTATGTTACTGGTATGTATATAATTAAAAGTTAAAAAAATCTTTCTGTATAAATATCTCATGTTAAACAAAGACACCCGCAGCTTATTGACAAGCGCGGCCTATATATGTACAAATTATTATAATTTTTTTATTTATTGGGTGCGGCTTTTATTCAGGTGCGTTCAATAGTCCTGAAATTACAGAATTCAACAAGCTAATCTTGCAAAGAACCCTTTTATCTAAAAAAAAATCTGGAGGTGTTAATTTCTCCTCTATTCAGATTTTTTTTAATGCGAGAGCATACCTGGAGGTAGAGCTGCGATTTTTGCCCAAGCCCCCGACCCGAAATTCGGGCTGGGTCTGGCCAAAATTATGTGCTTGATGGGCGTGCCGGGTCTGACTTTGGATGGGGTTTTAATTGCACAAGTGGCCCCGCCTGCCCTTTGCTCTTATCACACATCTGAGGATTTGCAATTGACCAAGTGACATAATGGAGCTGGAAAGTATTAAACAAAGGCTAAAAATGGGAGAACTCACTCTACAAAGCCAGCGCAGTGAAACCTGCTGATGTGTGTCAGGTGCACGCTCAGGTCTTACAGGCTGGTTGAAAGAGGTTTAAAAAAGTCGTGTTAAGCTTCAGATGGACAACCGGATCATCGGCCGCGCACGTCCCGCTCGCACACTGCTGTCATCTGCAGTGAAGGAAGTTACAGCATCTGAAGCTACAAAAGCCGAAGTGAGCAGCGCGTTCAGTTAAAATAGCCTCATTTTTTCCAAATAATTTTGCTCTAAAAATAATTTTGTTCATCTGTATAATAGCCAATCTTTAGAGTAGATTTTTTTTTTAGGCTACCGGTATTTGTTTTGTTAATATCCATTTGGTGACTTGTTTATAAACAAGAAATCTTATATCTTCCTTTCTTTGAAATACGTTTTTAAAAATATCATATCAAATTGGTTTTCTTGCAAAAGCAGTAAAAGTTTAATTAAAAAAATGTCTGGTTATTTTTTCGGGTTCAGGCCTGTAATTACAATTGATTTGTTGGGTCGGGCTTGGTAAAAATGCTTACGGGCTAAGGCCGGGCCAGGTTGGATTATTTTAGGCCTGAATGCAACTCTACCTGGAGGTGTAAAATGTGTTGTTGTTTTTTTTGCTTGAAAACATTTTGTGTTTTTATGTTTCATGTAGCATCTTTGTATGCTACCAAAAGATTATCCAGTGCAAACAACTGAGAATGACTGGCGTTTGAAGAAGAAACTGGAAAAGATGATGAACGACTTGCCGCCAAAGACACCTCTGGGTAAGCAGCTCGAACTGCATTGGGATATGTTTTACTTTAAATCAGAGAATATAATGTGCCGTCTCATCCCTATTCTTTATTTATAGTTGAAGACTTGTCACCAGTCGTTATAGATGAGAAGAATGGAATAATCTACAGCCCTGGTTTAAAAAGGGTCGAATACATGACACAGCGCCTAAAAGAGATGAAAGCCCAACATGAAAACCTTTCACCTACAGGTGAGAAAAACTGCAGTAATGTCTCCTGTTAAAGTGACAATTAGTTGATGCATTTTATGACATTTGAAATGACAGCAAATTGATTTGACTGTTGCTGCCTTTCAGCCTCTCAAATGTCAGAATCTTGTTCACACACCGAGCTGAAGCCTTCTCTTGGAAGCACACCTACTGTCTTCAGATTTCAGTGTAAGAAAACCGAGTGTGATCTTGTTACTGATCATTGTCGAGTATTTATTTTTTAGTTTTGTTGAACAGTTGGCTTTCTCTTTAGACTACCAACTAAGCCTATATTATGACTGTTAGTGCCTTACACTTAATTAATTGGGTAAAATAAAAAATTTTGGTATGCACAGTAAAACAGACGTTTTAACCAAACAAATTTTTTTTTAATCCAGAAAACATAATTGGTTAATCTTCATGCAAAGTAATTTAAGTTTAGAGGAACATGACTATTATTTTGTACTTAAAGTACAGCATGTGCTGAGAATGAGTTGCCTCCAAAAGTTAATCAGTTTTAGCTGAACATCTAGTCACTACTTTCTGTGAGTTTCAATAAAATACCTCCAGATATTTTGCTAATGCATCAGACAAACAGACACAAACACATTGATAAAACATTATCATCGTCTTTGCCTTTGTAGCAAGCAAGAAAAGCATCTTATTTAACAATATTTTGTTATAGAGAGAAAATGTTGGATAGATTTTTTCAGGGATTACATCACAGCATTGTTTTTAGTTTATTTCAGCTTCTGAGAAAATATTATGTTTTCTGTTTTTTGTCGTATGACTCCTTCTGAAACAGCATCTTGTGTATTTCGCCTCCGTTTCACAGTGGATGTGTGTAGTGTACAATACAGTAGTGTGATATTGTGAAGAGTAAGAGTACAGTGGCTGAAACATGCATTTAACTAAAAACACTGCTGACTTTTTAAATAAATTTAAAAAATAAATTTTCTCTTTTTTTCCTCCACTATACAGTAGATCAGTCAGATGACGATTCCAGTCCTTCTGTTGCAAAGCATGGTTGCTCACCGGATAAAGTTGTGGAGAAGCTGGATTTTGATTTTAGAAATGATGACCATCTTGAACAAGATTCTATGAAGCCCTGGCTCTCACCTTGCCGTGACGTCCCAAAGCGAATTTCAAGTGCACCAGACAGTCCTGGTATTGACATCCAGGAGGATCAAGAGAGAAACAAACTAATAACACCAAGAAGGGCTTCAGCGAGGAAAAAAGTAGCAGAGAAAATGAAATTTGGAGACGATTTAGAGAGTCCTATCCAGGACAAACCTGAAAAAAGCAAGACTTTTCCAAAAGACAAAAGGCAGCCACCGATAAAATCAGCCAGTAAATCTGAAACTAAGAAGAAGAAAACTCCTGCAGATGCATCTTTTAAGGAAACTAAATCCTTTTTATCTCCTAATGCTGTGATTTCTTCAAGTTTTCTTTCAACATCAGCAACATTAGTTGATTCAGCAAATGGTATCTCAAAAGAAACTTGCCTGTCAAAAACACCAGAACTGAAAACGCCTAGAAAAGCCAGACTGTCATTCTCTGCCTTGGTGCGATCTTTCACTCTATCCAGTGAACAAAAAGTTGTTGCCTCGAGTTCGGCTGATGCAGATGCTGATGTGTTTGAAGACTATTTCTCTCCTGCAAATCACAAAAGGTCTCTTTTGCCCGATCTACCTGTCGAAAGCAACATTAGGATTCCATTTGAGTTGGACTTTGTCCTGAAAAAAAGAAAACAAAGACAAAGTGAAAACTTTAGCACTTACAATAAAATGCAGAAAATGGATAAAAGTTCTAGCGGTGAAAAGCTCAATCAGCATTCTGATGAAATCAGTGAGTGTCTTCAAAAACAGGATGTCAAGACATCTCTGTCAGCATCTAACTGTGAAAGTGTTTGTGTTGAACTTGAGACTAAGAAGCAAAACCCTCTGGAATTTACAAGTGCCAGTAAAAGTACCGGTGATGCAGGAAAATGTAGCTCAGCATCTACATCAGGACCACCGTCGTCACAGACAGAGGACATCCCAGGTCTGGAGCAGCAAAAAAACTCTGGTCTTTCTCACACTGTGGAAAGTGAGTAATATGGATCACAGAATCTAGAAAATTTCATAGTCATAATAAATTCAGTACTGTGATTTATTAATTATTTTTTGTGCTATTTTAAGTTTCTGTTTTTAGAACGCAAAAGTTTTCCTTATTGAATGTGAAATTAAGTAAATGCAAATGATTGACCGGCTTGGTTTTTCAAATCTGAGGTTAATGTTCAATTTTATTTTACTTTAAGCTTAAGTTTTTCAATGAATTTAAATGCCATATCAAAAAAAAAAAAAGATTTACAATAAAGATGAAGCCTTTTCAATATGTTCACAAATTTAAGGTACAGGTGCGCTCCTATGAGTACAAGAAACAAAATGCAAAATTAAAAAGCATTTTAAATTTACTCCACTCGTACCTTGAACAGCTTTATTTTTTCTTAAAGACGATTCTGATTCTTCCAGAAGTTATTTCCTCAAGTGATGTTTTATATTGAATATTTTAGTTTAAAATTTGCCAGAGGTGTTTGAGTTGGATTGAGTTTTATGGACTAATACACTGAATGATGCAGAAATTTTTTAATAGTTGACTTGATTTTTCAAGTAATAGGTTATTTGTTTTATTATGAGGTAAAAGTGATCAATCAGAAGAGCCCCTTCACAAAAGTTAAAAGCCAAATTTAACAAGTAAAATGAATTTTAGAGGGGAATAAAGCCTCATGAGCCTTTTCCTCTGGTTATTTAGGAATCTTTGGATGTCAAACGTTGAAATTTCAGCTGGGGAGTTTCTGAGGAGTTTGTATATTTTTTTTATTCCTGCCCACATTTTAAAGACAACCTGTTGGTGTTATTGGTTTATCAAAAAGTAACCAATGGACAGTGAGTGCACATGATGGTTTGTTTCGGTTACCCCACAGATGGACTGGGAATGTTTCATTGATGTACTACATCAATACAAACTACACCACATAGCAACTGATAAAAGCCCCATGGATTCAAAAAATTAATTAAATTAAGCATTATTTACAATGTACCGAAATACAGTGAAATTATGTTCTTGCAAGGGCGGCTGTGGCTGAGTGGTTAGAGCAGTCGTCCTCCAATGCAAGAGTTGGGGGTTCTAATCCACCAGCAGTCACATGCCGAAGTGTCCCTGGGCAAGACACTGAACCCTTCATTGCCTCTGATGTGTGTCCCATCGGTGTATGAATGTGATCTAAAGCACTGATTAGTTTCTTTAGAATAATTTGTTCAATTAGCGTTGTATAGATCTAGTAGAGTGCTGTATGAATGGGTAAATGAGAGCACAGCTTGTGTTGTAAAGCGCTTTGAGTATTTTGATCAGATAGAAAGGTGCTATATAAGTACAGACCATTTACAGTCGTCCGAAAGATGGGCGGAGTGCAAGTTGCTGCTGCTACTAGAGTGCGGCCCCATATCTTTTTACAGAATACCTTTTTAGATGGAAAAGGGTAAAAACCATGAGTATAAGATAGTGGCATTACCAAAAAAAAAACTCTTCACACTTTGTTCTATCAAGACACGATTTAAGACCTCAAAAAACTGCCAGCAAGCACTTTTTTTTAGGTCTCTCTTGTAAATGAGTGTCCGAGGCTCAATGGGATTAACCTGTATAAATAAAGGTTGAACATGTATAAACACATTACATGTGCATTTGATGGTGAGATTTGTCCATTAAGGACTTCCAGATAGACCATAGTCCTGATAAGATGTTTGTTAGCGGGGACAGTTCTGATAAGCCTTCACAGAAGTTATTTGGGGGGGTTGCGCTAGATGAAGCTTTTCCTTAGTTTGCACTTATCCCAGGAGAAATTTGATAAGTCGGCCTGCTTTTGAGGCCAACCGGGGGAGTCAGATTCAGATAAGCCACAATTGTTGATTTTTTTCAGGCAGACTTTTTTTCCGTCAGCCTTGAGTCCTGCTGATACTTTCAAGACCCAAAATGGCCAGATTTGTGGATATTCCACTGGTCCGTGCTTATGAGCCTACTCCAAGGTCGTCTCCAACATGCTGGCGAGTCCCAGAAGCTGCAGGTGGCCTGCGATTCTCACTAATCACTTCCATCTTACGGTTTAGCTCGTAAATCAGCTAATTTTGAGTACTCAGAGTACGAACCAAACCTTCACAGACTTGGCAGTTTTGCCATTTCTGAAATTGCTGCAACTGTCTTCCTTAATAGCTGATAACAGGAATCCACCGATGCCAAAAAGCAGAAACACTGCTATCATGAATCCAATTATATAAACAACTTTTGCGTCCTCCTGAGACAAAATGAAAAAACACATCAGCTCCCAAACTCCCCACGGATTCATGACGTATCCTGCTGCCTGAGTCTCAGCAGGACCCTGTCGCTTTGTTGAAAAGATTTTGTCAACTGCGTTGAAAGTAGGGGTGCACCGATTGCAGTTTTCTGGCTGATCACAGATTTCTAAAAAGTCTGATCTGCTGATTCCAATTTTGGCCGATACCGATTTTGTTTTATAAGCGACGCTGTCAGGTGTTATCGGGTCACAATGCACTTTCAATTTTCCAAAATTATGTTATTGAAAAACATACCCTTGAGCAATATCCTAGAAACAATACAAACTTGTTTTAACTGGCCATGAAGTAGTGCTCTGAAATATAAATGAAGTTCAGACAATTGTTAAAACTAAAAAATTGGTCAATTCAGTTTCTCACGCAAGTATCGGCCTATTTCCCAAAATTACGGAAATCAGACCCCTAGTTGAAAGTCCAGCTGACTAGATCCATGACAGTTGTTTTTCGTTTCGGAAGATGTGTCATAGGAGCTCCGATACACAGACAGAGAGCAGAAAAAAGCAGGAGGAGAATAGGAGCGGGAGAGAAAAGGCATCCGCCTTGCACGAGAGCAAGTGCAGAGAAAAAAGAAAAACGAGTTGGGGCATTGACTGGATGAAGGAAATTATTTTTCCCCTTTTCCCGAGGCATCCTGATGGTCTGACAAACTTTATATCTTAAAAAGTTTAAAATCTAAGCTGGCATTTATAAATACTGGTAATATAATTAAACTGTCATCCAAAAAGGTTTACCTGAATCCTCATTAGTTTTGACTTTTTTTGTGTCATCGTAAAAAGAGGTTATTTTAATTTCTTTCAGAAGTTGAGTTTTTTGTTAGTCTGGATGCAGTTGGTGGCTATTAAACAAAGTAAAATCCTGTTTTCAGTGTCAGTGCACAGTCGTGGGTAACGGTGCTAGAAATGAACAAATAAAAACACCCACAGCTGTGTGATAGCTTGAGTGACACTCCCACCACCTACTTTAAATTGTTTATCTTGTTTTCATATGTAGGTGGAGAAAATGAATGTTTGGTTGCAGCTGCTCTCACAGACGCCAAGGGAAATCGTAATAAGCCTGACAACTCGAGTCTTCAGAAAATGGTTAACAAAACAAAGGTAACGGGATGTAGCGCTTCTTTCTCATTGTCTAACTAAACTTAATTCCACTGTTTATATGGTTTAGAGTAAGAAAATTGCCTTAAAAGTATTTACAAAATTGTCCGAAATGGGAAAGGGATTACAAAAGCAAAATATTGCTTAAATATTACTTGTTTCTGTGGTATTTTAGAAGTCTTATTTCCCAGTCTTTATTTTTTGTACCTAATAAATACATTTCCTGACGCGCTGAACGTTTTTCCTATATTTTCCTCCACCAGTCTGAGTAAATAAATGCAGCCGATGCAGTTTAAGTAAATTTTTGTAATAGGATGTTTAGGATGCAAGAAAAACATCAGCTGTGTTTTCTTAAATTCTTTTGTAAGGATATCCTCTTTAAGGTCATGCATACTTCCATGGCTGAAGGTGTTGGATGTGTACATACGCAGGGTTCTGTCTGGTCCGTAGGGTTTCCTGTGTTTTGGCTGTGTGACAGTAGCGTAACTTCCTTGCTTGTGAAATGCACCTGCAGCACTGTTTTCGTTATACTGGTAACCTCAACAAGCTGTTGCTGAATAAAGCCAAACACTACGTCACGTCCCCTTTGGATTTGTTTTCATTAACTTTGCTGCCGCTAGTTGTTTTTATGATTATATTAAACCATAACTGGGGATTAGTGTTCATAATCATTCAAGTAGTATTAGAATACTCAAGTACCGTAATGACTTGTCTTAGTTACCTTTTAGTTTGAATTTGTATCAACAGTACTTATACAAATCAGCAATCTCAAAGTATGAAATAGTTTGGGCACAAATAGGTTGTAAATCGTCATTGATAATCGTCAGTAATGGCCTTCTGGGAAATCAGTTGCTTTCTCCTTCAACCTTTGTCATTTTCATGATTTTAATTGCTCTCATGATTACAGCTTTGTGAAAATTGTTCTGCGTCAGTGTAAACGAGACTCCGTTTGTTTACACATCTTGCTCCTAGAGAAATGTTCGTAAGTTAGCTACTTCAAGGAAGGTCAAGTTTGGCTGACTGGTTAATTTGTAGAGTTGAACTCTTTTAGCTTCTTGATGAGCATTAACGCCTTTTTAAACTCTTCAGAAAACGTTACTGTACTTGTTTTAATATAAACTACTAGAAACACATGTGAAGATCAGACTCTGATAGAGCACCGTCCTATAGATAAACCAGGATTCTGTTTCAAGTAAATTGCTGATGCTTGAGATTTGAGAACCTTGTGGACCTGTCCCTATTTTTTGCAGATGTTGTGGTTCTGGCGGCGTCTTCAGGCCACGACTTTCAACACGCAACAGGGAGGTTTGTAGCCAAGTGTGAAACAGCCCAGATGAGAGTCAACTCCTAGAAGTCTGAGGTGGTGGTTCTCAACAGAGAAAAAGCAAAATGCTTCCACCGAGTCAGAGTTAAGTCTCTGCAGCAAGCAATTTAGTTTAAGTATCAAATAATCTAATTCGTGAGTGATGGTATGGAGTGGGAGACAACTTAACTGCTCAGGGACTTGTCTCAGTACGTTTTTCTAGGTTGTAGTGAAAAAGGGACTGAGCTTTAAGGCAAAGCTGGTCTATGTCTGATTATCCTGTGGTATGAGGTATGGATAATGACTGATGGAACAACATCCTGGATTCAAGCAGCTGAAATGGGCCTACTCTGTAGGATGGCTGGGTTTGGCCTTAGAGATGTAGCGAGATATCTCATCCAGGGAGAGCTCAGCGTGGAGCCGTTTCTCCTCATTGAAAAGAAGTCAGCTGAGGTGGTTCAGGCTTCAGAGTAGGATTCCTCCAGGTTGTCTCTTCTGGAGTTTTTCCAGATTTGTCCAATTGAGAAAAGACCCTGGAGCAGACTCAGAACTTGCTGAAGATATTTTGTATATTTTGGAAGAGGTTTAATCACTCATTTAGTTCCCAGTTATATTGCAATTATGAAACTCTTAAAAATCATTTTGGATATTTAAAGATGATTAAGTATTTGAGGCACTAAATTTTGCAGAATTCAGCCCAGCTTATGGGCTGTTAGATTAACCTAATATGTTTTATCAGCCTGCACAAGATGAACATATGGTACTTGAAATATAAAGGTCTATGATTTATTGCTTTCCTTGACGATATTGATTTTGCAGTGAGGATAAATCTGATATATTATGCGGCCTAAATTTAATGTGCTCATTGTTCTCTTATTGTCAGTATTCATCAACAGAAAGCATTTTGTCATTTTAAAGAGGTATGGTTATACTGCCTTAACTGCTGTTTGGGTCTGACTACACTTTATGATTTGCGGACATTAAAGATTAATGTTTCTCTTTTATTGTCTAAAGAGTCTCTTTCAGCATGCACGTACTTGGAGCCACAATGGAGACCCACTCATACTGTGAAGAATTTCCTTCATTTGTGTTTGTCCTCAGGGGCCGTGCCACATTTCATACCAGCTTCTTGTCATAGATTCACTACGTGCAGCTGCCAGAGCATGTTCAGCCCGTGAGATAATCCAAAGTCATTTTTAAGGAATAGCTTTTTAGATATTTTTTGTGTTGTCTGACTTGATTGAAAAGATTTCAACCGGATCAGCCTCCTGTCACCATTTATTTTGTACAACCGTAGTCTTAACCACAAATATCTCTTCTTGTGTCGTTTACAAATTGAAATATCAAATTGATTTTCTTTAGAGGAAAATTTGTGGTTGATCAACCAAGAAGAAATATTGCAGCACTATTGTTATCAAGTCAGTAACTTCTGAACTTGCCATGTCAGGAATAATGTAATATTCGACAGGCGTAGGTGTGACTCGTGAGCTGTTTGTGCTTAACATGCCCTAACCCCTGACTTCCAGCTTGTAGACCAGATATCAGAGTGTTGGCAGGAAAAGGGCGCAGTGGTCCTGTTTGCAACTGTCGCTGAGGTGTTTGGGTTGATGACAGATTTCTGTATGAGGGCCAAAGTATGTGGTTGGGTGAGCTGCGATCAGTAGGCTACATATTTACAGTTCTGAAGATGCAGTATGCTCTTTCCAACAAAGTTCCGGAAGGTCATCTGGATGGTTGTTTTTTGAGATGTTTCATCCTTCATCCAAAGGACTTCATCAGTCCGAGGAGCTACAACAAACCCAGTACCACCCAACCAGTTTACTGTTGATAAGATGGTTTATGGGGCTCGCCCTCTCCCCTATCAACACCTTTGAAGGCTCCAGTATACTCGCGCGGACTTGACGTGCACTGTCTGCAGACGGTTGAAACTTCATACTCGAGCGTCCACCTTGAGCGGCTGCAGACCAGCTCCGCAGACTAGGGGCGTTTACCTTAGGGACAAATTGAGTTTGCCGATTGGTCATTTGCTGACACACCTCCTGGACTGATTGACAGGTCGCAAAAAAAAAAGCTGGCAGCCCCAGCAGCATTGTTCTGTGTTTATATGTTGTTAATAAAAAGTTCTAAAAAAAATATTTAAAAAAAACAGGGAGTGCTGGCCCTGCAGCCCACACATCTGACCAGCCCACCAGGAAATCTCCAGACCCTCCTGCACACACGCTGAGCCTGATTTTAATTTGCTTGTGACAATTTCCTTAATTTCTCACCATTTCAGTCATGGCGTCAACGGAGGAGGAAGAGATCGCTTGCCTCTTGAAAAAAACAAGAAAAGGCCATTATACCAAATCAGGGATGAAGAAGGAGAATTTAATACATTGGTGTCACATACAAACAGTCCAAAGTACGCGTATGTGGTCATAAAAACTGAGCTTTGTATGGACATGCCCTGCAGGCGTCCACTTCGACTCTAATCCGGTATGCACGCACTGACGAATGCACGAGTATACTGGAGCCTTAAGGCAGCCATAGCCAAAGTGGTTCAAAACATCAAAGTTCATGTTCAATAATCCAGGTAGAAAATTCAGCAAAGTGCAGTCAGGTCATCTGGACTTTTTTTTTTTTTAATTAAGACATTTCGACGGGGGAGAGGGCGGGCCCCAGAAACCATCTTATCACTAGCAAACTGTTTGGTCCACTATGTGGGCTTACTGCTTATGGGACTATGTTTTTCATTTGTGCACCTGCACTGCAATAGCTAAGGGTGCATTCACACCAGCCCTCTTTAGTCCGCTTTAATCGAACTCTAGCCCATTTTCCTAGGAAGTCCGGTTCGTTTGGGGAGGTGTGAACGCGCCATCAAACTCTGTCACGGAACAAAAAGGCGAACTCTGGCCCGGGCTAAAACCTAGGTCTCGGTCCGGTAAAAGAAAACTCGAGCGCGGTTCGAGTGCAGTGTGAATGTAAACAGACCGGGCCCCGCTCCACAAGTGGAGTACAGCACAGGACAAACAAACATGCATTTCTCTTACCTCATATGGAGCTGTCAGCTGCCTTGTGTGAAAAACAATTTTCTCCATGGTCTTCTGCCTCATCTTCTGCTCATGCTGAGTTCATTGTTGAAAAACGACAAAATATAACTCCTAAAACTTGATACCACTCTGTTTTTGTTTTTATTTCCAGAAGAAGTGTCTTCAGAGGTTTTTGTATAGTTTCTTTCAGTAGTTCTTGGTGCAGCGCCCCCACAGGCGAGTGGGGGAACAGGTTGGTTTAACAGGTTGGCTCGACTGCACAGTGCAGTGTGAATGCAAACGCACCAGCTCAAATGTAAACAAAATGTTATGAATATTGGTCCCCAACCGAACCGAGTCTACTGGACTATCAGGTGTGAAAACAACCTAAGTTTATTGCGGCTCCTCGGACTGATGAAGTCCTTTGGATGAAAGACAAAACGTCTCAACAACAACAAAAGAAACTGTCCAGATGACCTGACTGAACTTTGTTGGATTTTCTACCTGGATTGTTGAACATGAACTTTGATGGTATACTCTTTATTCTTACTGATGATTGTTTTTTTTTGTTTGTTTATTTCAGCATTCATATATCCTGAAAATCCCTAAAAGTGCAAATTCTTTGATAATAGGTCATGAGCCAAAAAACAAATATGTCTTTATAAACGCCATGTTGTATTTTAATTTATGTGTTACTGCCAGACAGGTGTAGGATGTGACAAAAGCTGTATTTTACTTCAACAACGGGTTGTAATGGTTTGTAAAATGCAATGCTGAAAACTAAATTCAGTACTAACCTCAAAGTTCATGCACAATCCAGGTAGAAAATCCACCAAAGTTCAGTCAGGTCATCTGGACTTTTTTTTTTCTGAGACGTTTCGTCCTTCATCCAAAGGACTTCTTCAGTCCGAGGAGCCACAACAAACTGAGTTCCACACGCAGCACACTCATAGTGGACCAACCAGTTTGCTGGCTATACCAACGTGTTTATGCCATATTAACTGAACTGTTCATTTAAAGGGATTTTAAGTTTATACAATATTCTTTGTTTCAGACGATGAGAACACTGGTCATGACAAGCATGCCTACTGAGTAAGTTCTGTCTTGGTTATCCTGAATTATTAAAATTTCATATGCAGTAATTTCACCACATCACGAAGTAAACTGGTGAAGTGAACCATGTAAGTATTTGTATTAGGTGTCGAGTTTTTTTATGTTTTTATTTTATCCACCGTTTGTAGGAAGCAGCACACTGTGGTTCAGGTGGTGAAAGCACTGGGTGGATTTTCAGTTGTCGACCGAGTGTGTGAGAGCACAACTCACATAGTGGCTGGGGGACACAGACGGACTCTAAACATCCTGTTGGGCATAGCCCGTGGCTGCTGGATCCTGTCATTTGAATGGGTATACATGTTAAGCATGTTTAAACGTCGTCACGCACATACCTAAAAAGCGACAGCTGTGTTAAACATATTAAATACCACAGCTTTCTATGATTTTGTGTTCTTGGAACAGATTCTCTGGTGTTTGGAGCAAAGGCAGTGGATTCCAGAGGAGCCGTATGAACTTTCAGACCCTTTTCCTGCAGCACAGGTAAGTGCAAGTAAAGTCAGGTGGTAATTAAATAGTGCCTGAAGGAATATTTATGAAACAAGCATTACCCTGAGTAAATTTCAACATCATATTCGCTTTAAAGTATGTTTTCAAATAGTGCATACAATATTAATTTTATTGACCTTTTATTACAAGAAAGTTGTGTTGTTTGCTCTCTTTCATTAATTTTCATTTAAATATTAAAAGTAAAGTTCAGATAACTTTATTTTTCAAGTTAGAACCGATCTAATCTACATTATTAAATCTCTTTTGTCGCCCTGTATTTATTGAAACCTACTGGCACAACCAAGACAAAAATCTCTAAAATGAACACTGTTTTATAGAATTTTGGGGATTTGATGTGTCATTAATAAAGAGCCAATTTCTACATAAAGTTCACACTAAATACTTCAGTTCAGAACCCTTCATAGGACCCTCAATGATGCTTAGTTGTATGTTGTTTTTAACCACAGAATTTACAGTAAAACTTCTGGTCAGTTTGATTTAAAATGCAGAATTTATCTATCAACAGGTTTAGCACACTTTTTTTAGGGAAGGGGATTATGTTCTGCATCTGTATAATAAAAAAACCATAAACCAAGCTTTCAATGACCTCATACTTTGATTTGTTAGGTGGCATATCCACAGGGTAACTCCATAATGTGCATTTGTTCATAAACTATTTATTTTACATATCGTCAAAAAAAACAACAAGTACCGTTTTTGAGCACTAGAAAATTTATTGTTTACACAAGAAAATGCTAATGAAAATAGCTAAGTTGTTAAAAATTAATGCTACAAACTATATAGCAAACTTACTATAACTATCCTTGCCTTGTGGTTGGTGATATTCACCTTCAGAAACAATAAAGCTCCTAAATTATTACAGTCTAACAACTGGAAACCTGAACTAAAAGTTAAAGCAGAATATGTTAAAATAAATCTTCACAATTTTTTTTTTACTTCAAATCGCACAGATGGCCTTTATGTTTAATAAAGGTAAATAGCAGACTTAAAATGTACATATAACTTAAACAACAAATGTACATACATTCTGTGGAACGAAACAAAGATTTTTAAATGAATCATTTTATGGCATTTACATTTAAAACATTTATCAAACAAACTCTAACCCATATTTTCTTATGGTTACCAGTTCAGTATCTTGTACCATCATCTATCTATACAATAACATCAGCTGCTATTTGACTAATAGTTAATTTATGCTTAAGCTGTGTTAAGCTGATTTAAGGAACTCACATTAAGTTATAGCAGCTCCCCTGCCACCCGTAAAGGAAAAAGCAGGTCAAGATAATGGATGAACATGACGTTATTATATTTTACTCAGCTTCTAGGTTAATAGAATTTATTTAATATGCCTAAAGTGTCTCTATGCCTTTTTGTTTCTGCACAAACCCATACAAATAATTAAATACATAAATATAAACTGCTGTATAAAAACATTTTTATGATCTGCTTTGGCTCCCTCGAGAAGTTTTCTTTTTGGTAGTGGTGCTTGTTGAACAAAACTTTCTTTCCCGTTCTGTTCAGTCGAAGAGTCGTGTCAAAGTGAGGCTGAGAAGTCTGTCGGTCTGATCATCATTGTAGTCGACTTCAGCGAGTAGCCCGAGCCTTTCCAGTAGTACCATTTGATTCCATTGAAGCGATTGGAGTTCTGGCCGTTTTGATAGTAAATCCCATTCAGATTGGATGGACCGCAAGCATCGAACCACCAGCCTGAAACATTAAAATATATTCATTGTCATGTTATTATCATATACTGTAAACCTAATGTGTACAGCCGAGTATAACACAAGGCTGTTAGACTTTTTTTTTTTTTTTTTTACAATAACTATCTCACCGTTTATGGAACCTTCTCAAGGGGGATAACTTTAGCTCGATCAGAAAGCTAAATTGTATTCACTTTTAATAAAACAACTCAAAGGTCATTTTAATTTTACTTATAGCCCAATTTTCCACATTACAAAATCTGAATATAAATAAGTTTTTTTATGTTTAATATTTGTATAAAGGGCTTATAGAAGCCCGACAAAGTTCATTCATGTCGTCAGGATGGTTTCTTTTTTTGTTGAGCTGTTTCATCCGTCATCCAAAGGACTTCATCAGTCCTTTGGCTACGGATGCCTTGGAGAAGCCGACGGGGGAGAAGTTGGGCCCCAGAAACCATCTCATCACCATTAAACTGGTTGGCCCACTGAGTGTGCTGCTTGTGGGACTGAGTTTATTGTGCATCCTCGGACTGATGAAGTCCTTTGGATGAAAGACGAAAGGTCTCAAAAAAAAAAAAAGTCCAGATGAGCTGACTGAACTTTGTTGGATTTTTTTTTTTCTGGATTATTGAGCATGAACTTCGATGGTTTAAAGAAGCGTTTCTTCTTCCAGTTCCATGTAAGATACTTTGGTTCCAATTGGTGGAGTTTCCCTTAAAGCTGTATTTATTAGTCATGGTTTGAAAGGAGCTGCTTTCTGATTCACATACAGATTTATTCCACTTATTCATTTGTTTCCATACTTACGGTTCAGCTTTATGTCCTGTAAAAACAGACACTGCTTTATACTGGTTCAGTGCCACCAGGTCACGCTTGTGTTTAATGCGTCCTTAGAGTTCTTTTAAGAGAACCCCCATGGGAAAACGAGATGGGGGCTTACAGTTTTTTATCATTTTGAAGCTCACTTGGCAGACCTCAGTTCAGACGGAGACAAATGCCTGGCAGTAAAGTTACTTTCAAGGGAATGGCAAAGGGCTTTTTAGCTACAAGAGCGAGAAAAGCTCTGTTCCCAGGCTATTAATGTCAGCTATTGTCAGTGCTGAATTCCCCAATGAGCTGATCAGTGATTAAGTCTCAGCTAATTGTGCTCTTTAGACTGAAGTACAACAGTTCTTAAAATGTCCTTGAATTTTTTTGGGGCAAGTGCCAAGATTTGTGTTGGTAGGACTTTTTTCCCTCCCAGAGCAATTGTTTAACACTAATGAACAGAAATTGTATATTTCTGAGTCGCATAATTTTTCAAAAGCTCAAGTTATTAACAAAAAAATGGGGTTTCTTACCTCCTGTTGTCAGCTGTGAGCATTTGCAAACACATTTGTCATTGTCTGCATCCTTTGTACTGAAACCACTTCCTGGCTGCCCAATGCTGCTTATTTTGCCTGCCGTTCCACTGTAGCCTTTAAGGTGTATCCTGTAGGATGGAAAAGGAAAAATGAAGGAACAAGAGGAGGAAGTCTGGGGTCGCTGTTCCTCAAAAGGCAAGAACTAATTCAATTATATATTCACTTCACTATAGCTTTTACTTGTACAAAATCTTTAAAATGCGTCTTTATGGCAGATACATTCTGTATTTTAGTTTTGAACATTTCTTTGCACAATATTTGTGTATTTCTTAATTTTTATGAAAATTTTTGTGAATTCTAATTTGTGACAAAGATTTTTATCTATTTTGCAGTTTCTTTTTAGTTTTTGACCACCCACCTAAAGGTATACACGTTACACACATCCATGCTGAATTTAGAAGATTTGTCAAATTTTTAAAAAAATCTATTCCACTTTCAGCCCTACGTATATTAGAGATGAAAGTGATGTAATTACCAAGAGTCTCAAACTGAATGTCAGATGAACAAGACATTTGATCTATTTCATATTTTTCAACTAACTTTACTGGATTTTTTTGGGCTGATGCCAATAAACCGATCTCGGAACGTGTGTAGCCTCATATGCTAAGAACCCACATTCAGTATTTCTGTGATGCATTTTGTTTTCAAATATTAGTAACTCTTCAGTATTCATGGGTGAGTTTTTTCTCATATCTTTTTAAAAGATGGTCATACTGGAAATAACTTGCCATAATTGTAATTTTCTTTTCATTTGTTTGAGAACATACAGTACCGGTGTGTGTGTGTGTGTGTGTATATATATATATGTATTTTCCAAGCAATACATTGCTCTGACTGTTAACAAAATAAGCAATTTCTTCAGAATAATTGAAAATCAGTTGTTTTTGGCTGTGTGTGTTTTAGCTATGTTGTTGACTGACAGCACGGAGGCATCAAAAGCTTTGTTGAAAAAAAAAAAAAGCATCATCTACAGACTGGCTTCTTTCTCATATTAGGTTGAGCTTCATGAGCTCTGATTGTTTTTGCCTGAAGCTGAAATTAAATAAAGCATTCATTACGTGCCACTTAGTATCTGACACGCGTGTTGCCACAGGAAAATTTATTTGAAGCTGCCAAAGAAACGTACTTGTAATTTTGTGCTTCGTTATCGAGAGAGAACTGGTCATATTGTGAGAAGGCAGAGTTTCCTTCCCAGTCGCTCAGCTGGATCCTTAGTTTGTACGTCTTTTGATTAGTCAGTGTGGAGACAAACTCATTTCCCAGCCAGAATTCACCTGAAGGTTCTCCAAAACCCTGAAAAGACACAAAAGAAATATAATTAAATCCTGTGTAACCCCTGCCAAGGTCTGTTGTAGGTGCTTTTTTATTCTAACAAAAAAAAAAAACGTACACCAGCTAAAGCCCACAGTCTGGTTATATCTCCAGTATATTAATTCGAAGGTTTGTCCCCTAAACGAAAGAAAGGTTTCATCTGGACGTAGAATACAGTCAGAAAATTGTGTCACTGGTAAAATACATTGATCGTTTGAGCTTTTGCTATAATCCTAAAAGACAAGGAGGTGTGGTTTTAATGATTGTTTGAGATCTGTATTGTCAGCAAAGTTTTGGACCATTTATGAGGCCCATTCTGACACTGGCAGTACTAGTTATTATTTTGAGGATTTATTTAGATCCTCTCATAAGGAGTAAATGATTTATCTGCTGTCATTGGTTCTGTTTCCCAAATGATTGAAAATAGCTTCATAATGTGGGGAGCCCATGCTAAGATTTTCATCAGCAGGATGCTTGTTTGTTGGACTTTTGGAATCGACTCCGATTGATTGTGCAGAATCAACAAGCCCTGAAAACCCAGTCTCCAACCAAATCTGGAAACTTGTTATGTGTGTTTGTGGTGAAAACCGTAGCCTGGGTTATTTTATTCTAAGGGAAGAATTTCTTCTTGATTGCCTCTACCTTTTTGTACTCCTGCCACGTACGGTGAAAGTCAACACGGCCCTCAAAGCGTTTTTGTAGTACGGTCCAGCCGCCTCCTTCTGTCTCCATGTCACAGAAAGCCTTCAGACACAAGGAAATGGGACATGTTTGAATAATAGTTCAAAAATGAAGCAGAATAAGGACTCGGAGCTTATTTATAATGTGACAGTGCCATTTATTTTGCGTTTACTCATACACTTTTTTTTTTTTTCAAGGAAAAGTTCAGGAATGAAGTCCAGGTTGTTGAAAAGTTTCTAAGAAGATCAACTTTTTAGCTCCAGCTTCCACATTTTTTTAAGTATTAGCACATTTTATTTACATATATTTATCTACTCACCCTTAAACAGAGTACTTAAAAAAGTTAACATAATCCAATAGCATTAAGTGTTTAGTTTACAAGTTTGTTTAAATAAGTATAGGTTGATATGTATAAATATATGCACTTTTTTAGGGCGCCATTACAAATTCATGCTGAGGGAGGGACTAGTAATCCCATCAAGGCTCAGTTATTTAAACCATAAACCAAAAAAAATGGAAACATTTCAGCTAACTGGTCTCATTTTACCTTAACTTCCATGGTAGAGTTTGGCATTGTGAGAATGTAGACACCAGTCTGGGTGTTTCCTGACTTGTAGATGGCAGCACAGTCAATAAATGCAGTTGGAGTGTCCTGCATCATTGTAGGTTTGGTCTCTGCAGAAGATTTTAAATTAGCTTTATTTATAAACCCTTTTAAACAATCAAAACTTCACCAAAGTCAATAAACACTACATCAACAGACAAAAACATTAAATATCAATTAAAAATAAAAGTATGTTAAAGCAGGGGTTCCCAAACTTGTCCATGCCATCCCCCCAACAGCATTAGCTTCTTGCCGAGGTCCCCCCCTCGCAAACCCACAAACAATGCTACAAAATATGTAAAGAAACATCAACTTTTAGAATGTTTTAACTTTCATTAACTATATTCTTTTAATTATTACAGCTGCTGAGCACAAAAATGTTATTACCTCACATGTTTTAAACACTGTATTATAGTCTCACTCTAGTGGCGCTGAAGTTTAGAAGGTTTTAAACACTCGTTTGCGAGGATCTCCAGACAGAGGACACATTCCGGGCAATCGTGGCCATTTTTCTGTATGACTTACTTAATGTATGCTTCCTCATACCTTCGAATTTTAGCTGGCCACGAGTTTTTTTTTTTTTTTTTGTGTGCAGCAGTTTCCACCACAGCAGGGCTGCTGGTCAGTTCCTTCTGTCTTTTTTAGAAACGTCTCCATTTCGTCCTTGCTTTGCTAGCTTGAAGAGTAAAGCAGCTCGATACATTTGACTGGCAGCCAATCAGAAAGATGGGCATAGTGAAAAATATTTCAATAAGTTAAAATATATTTAAATAATATTTATTGAAAAACTGATTTTATTTTATTACAGTAATTTAAAAATGTAACATTTTTAATTAAAAAAATATTATTATTGCTTTTTTTTTTAATCTTCTCTCCAGCTTTCTGAGGCCCCCCTAGCACCCCCTACTTTGAGAAACACTGTGTTAGCGCTTACCATTTAAAACCAAGTGGCAAAAATGACAAAGACAAATAAATGGCACAACCATTCAATGCAATTAAAAGTTACGGAAAATAAATATCTTAAGCTGAATATTAATACAGTAGTCTCAGTTGAGCGTGCACACTTAATTGAAAGTATTTCTAGCGCTGCTAACATCGTTTTATTTTAGAAAAGCTCTACAATCGTGTCATTTCAGCACGCGATTGCTTTTAAATTTTATCTTTTTAGCACATTTTTTTTGTAATATTAGTTTTAACAAGGACCTATTATTTCTTTGGCGTTGACGTGAATATATTTGTCTGCTTATTTAATAGGCCAACGCCTGTAAACAATCTGCTTTTATTAAACTAAAATGCTGTGACCAAATTTTGATTCATAAAAGAGTAAGATTTATATCATATTACGTGCCAGTATTCGTTTAAATAATTAAGTAGCTGCAGCTAATTTGTTTTTTTTATCCACTGTAAACATTTGTGATGACCAGATTGTAAATGAATCCTATAGTTGTCATTTTTGATTGACTAAGTGCTGGAAATAATCAAAAACAGTTACCTTATGTATGTGACCTTCTAATGATCTATTTATTTCTATTACCCGTCTTTCCACTCAGATTTGTGAGGGAGCTGGAGCCTATCTCCAGCTGTAGTTCTGCGAGCGGGGTTAACACTGGACTGGACTCAAGTCCGTCACAGGCCAATCATTTATGCTCTCACTCACACCTAATGACAGAGCAGGGCTATTCAACTGGCGGTCCAGGGGCCAAATCAGGCCCACGGACAAGTTCAGTTCGGCCCACCAATGGGTAGGCCTGTCGCGATAAACAACAAATCAGTTAATCGCATGATGAATGAAAATTATCGACCTCATTTTCATTTACCGGCTTTATCGTTTCTTCGTGTCTCTCTTTCTACTGAAGACACAGCTCAACTCTGATACTCTTCACTGACTTGGATCGTTAAAAGCAGCTAGGCTAAGAAGCTAAGCTACGAGCTAAGCTAACAGGTCGATCTCGGAAATAAACCTCCGTCTTGTCGAACTCCAAAATTCACGGTTGAAACTTTTGCCTTCGTGTAAAAAGTTGTTTTTCTGTGAAAAAAGAAACTGAGAACTTGTTTACTGATTTTTTTAATTTAAAAACTTTTTGTGAAAAATGCTATGCTAAAGAGCTCAAACCACCGCACCATGTCAGCCCATGTCACATCAAGGGCCCTCCCTCCCATTTGTCTTAAAGAGACACACTATCCATCCTTTGGTTCAAACAGTCTTATACTGCCACCAGGTGGTCAAAAAAGGTACTACAGCCAAACAAATCGACATTTCTTCTAAAATTTGACAATTATTGTTAAATTTCAAACAATATTATCATTTATAGCAATAATTTCTGAGACAATTAATCACCCAGCAAAATGTGTTAATGTGACAGGCCAACCAATGTGTTCATTTTAAATAAAACTAGAATTTAAACCATTAAACAAACTTACTTAATGATAACTGCTGGATGTCCGGCCCCTGAGTTCTTGGTTTTCAGTAACTGTGGCTGTCTGAGCAATTTACTTGAATAGCCCTTATTTAGAGATTTCAATTAACCTAATGTGTGTGTTTCTGGTCTGTGGGACAAAACCGGAGTACCTGGAGAAGCAGCAGCACTAACCACCTCACTGCCTTGCTGCAATAATCACCTAAAGGGCAGACTGCTCTCCTTTATTCCTGCCTACATGTTGAACCTCGTCATATATTGTCACATTTGTTGTTTGACCCACCTTGAGCAGAGCCAGCGGACAACGTGTATATGAGGTTGTTCACTGTGTCCAGCAGCTCCTGCTGTTGAAGGTGTAAAACTGAGTTGTTGGAGGAGACTTTCAGCAGTTGTTGCTCCAGTTCCCCTATGATGGCTGTCTGCCTCACTATTAAAGTCTGGAGCTGCTCCTTTTCTTTTTCAAGTGCTTTCAGCTCCACCTGCCTCTGCTCCTCCATCTGCTGCACTTTTTTCTCCAAAAGACTAGGAAGAAGCAGACAAATTCATCCGTTTCTTTGTTACTAATACGCTTAGTGGTTTAAAGAAATCTTAGCATTTTCATTTTTGACTTTGATTAGATGTTCTCACCTGTTTTTATCATTCAATTTGTTGATTTCATTTGTTTGGACAATAAATTGTTTCTCCAACTTGTTGGTTGACAAGGAGTTTTCTAGAAGTTGACGCTCAAGTCGCGTTGAGTGGTGGATTACCTAAAAACAAAAAAAGACTAACATTAATTTTGGTGGCTTTCTCATCAGAAATTAATTTTACTTTGGCGCTGATTATAATGTGAACAGTTAAAACTTGTAACTTTAGCTTGCCTTCAATAAGGGAAAGTCGATTAGTTTCCCCACACAGCATAAATTTGACCATTTTGATGTGTATTATTATAATGAAGCATTAAACTACTATGGATACAGTATGAAATAACATAATATACATTTAGTAATATGTTGTAAAATCAATAAAAATCAAAACAATCAGGAAAAACATGTCTCAAATGATTTAGCATATTCCATTCAGGAATCAAGTTGAACACATAACCCCAGTTTGCGCAACTGGACTGCACAAATAACCGTTTGCAAAGTGGAAAAAAAACAGCACAGGAAAGGACAACCATACTGTAATACCCCAGACACACCTGAACGAGGGGAAATTACTAAAAGCCCGCATATTTTCACACACCGATGTATTGAACTAAACACAGGGGTTGTTGACCTTGCCGCTGATTTCCCAGTTCGGAGGAACTGAACTCAGCAAAACGCAGGTTGTTTACATGGATCCTCGCTGTGAGTCTCCATCGGAGCTGTTGATGCCTTTGAACAGACGGATGTCTGATTGTGACAAACTGATTGACTGTTTCTCTGGGAATACAAGTGTGCTAATAACAGGAAATGCTGTACAGTTGGCTCTCATAGGGTCATTGACGTGTAGCCACAATAATAAACTGACGCCACCATAACTGTTTTTTCCTCACTACTTTTTAAGTTTTGTTTTTTGTCTGACGTTTTATTATTCATCATAGTATCCTGATGCGTGCTCAATAAGCCAGGTAGAAAAAGTTAAGTCAGGTCCTCTGGACGGATTAAAAAAAATGTTGAAACGTTTCGTGTTTTATCCAAAATGCTTCGTTAGTCTGATTAGCGGCACTAAACTCAGTCTTATTTTATTAACTTTTATTTAACCAGGCAAATCCCATTGAGATCACAGATCTCTTTTGCAAGGGAGGCCTGGGCCTGAAGGCAGATTAACATGCATGTTTCTGTTCTGTGGGAGGAAACCGGAGTACCCGGAGAAAACCCACGCTAGCATGAGAAGAACATGCAAACTCCACACAGAAATACCTCAGATCCAACCGGGGATTGAACCCAGGACCTTCTTGCTGTGAGGCAACAGTGCTGACCTCTGAGCCGTCATGCTGCCAAGTAGCACCTTCTCATAATGGATCAACCAGTTTACTGGTGACGGCCAAAACTAGCTGTTCACATGATAAAGGAGGACCATCAGCCTAACGACTGATCGTTGGTGCTCTGATGGCTACTTACTATTCACAGAGGGTTGAGTGATACTAGCAATAACAGCATTGTAAGAAGGTGAAAACTGGACACGGAGACCTCCGCCTCTGTTTAATGATGGACGGCGTCTCTTCACAAAGATGGCTTCCTTTACTCCTCTCTTAAAGCATACAGTAGTTCCTCTCTATCCAGGATGTGAACATCCTCATCCCTGAAAGAGTGACCACTGGCCTGGAGATGAGTAAACTGCAGAGTCCTGGCCTGATGATGCTGCTCTTCTGTGCTTATATTTATTCAAACACTGTGTATTCATCAGTGTTTCACAAAGAACTCTTGAGTTTGCGTGCACAGAACAGGAGCAATAAACAATCATAAGTGCTGGGATTTATTTGGTATTTTTAGCAGAATGTCCTGCCTCACCTGTGCCTCCACATTAGTGAGCTTCCTCGTTTGCTCAGCAGTTTGACTCAGCAGGTTTGTTCCAATCTCAATCATTGTAGCTGTGTGGTTTTGAACAGCAGCCTGTTGGAACTGGACAATCTCCTGCATCATGCTGTCCTGGATGTAGCTCTCCAGCTGCAACACAAAAAAAAACAGTTAACCTGAAACAGTTTGAAAGAGCTGCTGATTAAAATAGACGGACAAGAGTTTTGTTCTGCGCTCACGTCTTTGTATTATCTTTACTGACAAATATTTTTGCTTGCTTCGTCCTACCGCTGTACTATTTGTAGAGGAGAAAATTTGATTCAAATTAATGGGTCAAAATTAAAAACACCTCAAGATTTCTAAGGTTATTTTTTTCTTCTCTGTTCAGACTTTGGTTGCTGCAGTCAGAATCAGAGAATCAGAATCAGAATGCCTTTATTGTCATTATACGCAAGTACATTGAAATTAAGAGCCACTCCTTTTTTCAGTGCAAAAACATGCTTAAGGAAAACACACACTAAAAAATATATATATATATATATATATATATATATAAATGTTACGCAATATCGATATAATAGCACTATGAAAGTTAAAAAATACAAGTATATCACAATTATATTGCACATTATGGATATTAGTGAGGTAGTTGAGGTGATTGAGAGTATGAAATGTCAGTAGTATTGCACAATAGAAGTCCAGGGGTTTGGGAGGTTATATTATTAAATCAGTGCATGTGTGAGTTCAGTGTGGTGATGACCTTCAAAAAAAAAGAACTGTTCTTGAATCTGTTTGTTCTTGTTCTGATGCACCTGTAGCATTTCCCTGAAGGTAAGAAGTCAAACAGTTCAAAACCCGGGTGTGAACACTCCTTGATTATGCTTTCTGCTCTGTTGAGGCAGTGTGATGTGTAAATGTCCATCAGGGAGGGGAGAGGGCAGCCAATTATCTTTTGTGCTGTCTTGACTACTTTGAAGCCTCTCCCTGTCAGCCAGGGTGCAGCTGCCGTACCATACTGAGATACAGTATGTCAGCAGGCTCTCGATGGACGAGCGGTAAAACCTTTTCTCTCTTGTTTGCCATCTGGGAGTTCCACAAGTCAAGACAAAGTGTCCTTGGATTGAATATCTTTGCAGCTTTGACAAATCTTCATGTACTTCAATGAGTTTTGTACATTTGAAGGCTAAATGTTGATGGTAGTGTGTTTTGATACTTTGGGAACAATGAATTAAATTATGGTGGCGATACCCAGCAACATGATGAAGAACCTTTTTAATTAGCTCATGACAATGAATATAATTTTTTTTATTTATTGGTACAAATTATATTAAACTGAAGCTTCAAAGTTTTCATAGCAGTCTGCGTCTCCGATAGTGTTAAATTATTATTTTTATATATGAATGTTTCTGTTCAGTGCCCCGAGATGACTTCTCTTGTGACTTGGCGCTACATAAATAAACTAAACTGAATTGAATTTTAAACAAGATTTTATATACTGTATTTTTTGGACTGTAAGGCGCAATATCAATGAATGGGTCTGTTTTCATATATAAGGCGCATTAAGCGAAACAAAACGGTCAGATAAGTCAAACTTTATTCAACTCATTCACAATAACCACATAAAATCGGTTCGAGGTCGTTAAGTGCAACCAGAATTGCCGTATTTTCCGCCGTACCTGTTGCGCCGCCCTATAAGTCGCATCAGTACAAATATGTCTAAAAAAGTGGAAAAATCCATAAATACGTCGCTTCACTGTATACGTCGCATCTATTATGCGTCACCAATGACACGTTGCGTTTATTACGCGTCACTGCTGACAACCCGGAAATATGTGTGTCAAAAATCGATGGGCTGCCAAATGGCAGCCGCAGGGGCGTGCATGGGAGGACTTTTACAAGAATTTAACAAGATTAACACTTAAAAACAATTATTTGTTTGCTCAAAATTATAGTAAAGGTGTGTCTCAGTCTAACGTTTGCTTAATAAATGCACTTTGACAGTCAAATCAGCTGCAATCACTGCCTCAGTGCTCCGGAGGCGCGCAGAGGGAGGACAAAACATAAGGAGGAACGCTGCTCGTTTCTTCGAAATTTAACAAGAAAAGCACCTAATACAATTATTTGTTTGCTCGAAATTATAGCAAAGGTGTGTCTCAGTTGAACGTTTACTTAATAAATGCACTTTAATGGTCAAATTAGCTGCATTTTGCTGGGGCGGTGCAGCTGGTTTGACGGTTGCTCCAAGCAGCGAGCAGAAGGAAGGTGGGGGGATTATGGCAAGCCGATTGTTTCATTATTATCTGGTGAAGAGTCTCAGTCATCCAGGACATGGTAAATTCAAAAAAGGTTCAAGAAAGTATAAAGTATAATAAATAAAGTCCAGTTGTTTTTGTCTTGAACTTTTTTGAATTTATCATTATAGTCATGTTTACTTATTACATGATACAACGGCATGCCAAACTGTTACTACTACTCTGCTTCCATCTAGTGGCTGAAAATGGTACTGTTCTTTTTATTTTCTCCCCGTCAGAATGAATGAAAACGGTCATATTTCAGCTAAAAATTGGTTTAGGAATATGTGGAAAAAATCCATAAATGCATCTCCAGCCTATAAGTCGCGGGGCATGCAAATTATGCAAAAAACTGCGACTTATAGGCCAAAAAATACAGTAATACATAAGGACCTGATTATAAGGCTCACTGTCAATTTTTGAGAAAATTAAAGGATTTTAAGTGTGCCTTATAGTCCGAAAAATACGGTACTAAAGTTCAAATTGTTTTACTCGTTGAAATGCCACAACACAATAAGTTGCATCAAAGTAAAATATTTAACGTTATAATTGTGTGTAATCATTTTGAGATGTGTTCCTGTCTACCTTTCAAAAATGACCATATTTAGACTTGAAGTAATCATTAAGTTATTTCCTGCATGGTGTTCCTGAGTGGCAATCAGGTCACACGACTTGTAAACAGGATGCAAGTGTTGAGTGAGGAGTTACATCCTTCATTACAGTCAGACTAGTGTGCAACTGGGAACCAGCGTCAGTCGAATGCCTTTGTAATCTACACCAAGGTTGCATAATTTACCTCCTCAATCAGTCTTTCGACAGCAAACACAGCTGATACTATTTATAACTAATCCAATTAAGCGATGCTTTTATTAACATTGTTTGTCTTTTCTTATTTCTGGATTGTTTGTTTTAGGTTCACACTGATGTGTGGAATGGTATCATTTGAATTGTTGGCAGGATGTCCGATTGACAGTCTGCGATTTAATCAGTTGTTTACTCCCGAGTGCCTGAAAAGCGTCAGTGAGGAATGACGGAGTTCCTCATTCGTGACATTTTTTTTTCTCTCTCCACTGTCATCGTGTGCGGGTGCATAAAGTCATTTTAGAAACAGATGATTTGTGATGGTTAAGAACGAGATAGAACTTTTTTTTTTTCTCAGCAATAAGCCTTTCAGGGATCCTGTGAATCACTGAAAGGCTGTTTTCTGTAGAAGCTAAATATATTTGTGGCAGCAGTTTGAAGTCCTGCTCGCCTCCCTTTTATTCATTCTTTGGTTCGCGTCCAACAGTCCACTCACGTCAAAAAGTTTAATAACCTCAGCGAGCCCCTTCTATGACTAAGTTAAATTTAATGGGTCAGTCATTCATCAGTTAGGGCTTTTTACCAGCTTTATTGCTCTTCAGGGTCCCATGGAGCTGAAACACTCAACAATGTGGAATGGGTAGAACATTTAATTGGAAGTAAAAAATAAAAATGAAGATTGAATAATGCCTTACTGGAAACCATAGATCTACAGCAACTGTCATTTAGTTTTACTTTTAATTAATTCTCAAAATGTGGCTTTCTTATTTTATCTGCGATCTCAGAAGGTTTGGGTCATCGCAAATCTGCTCTCAGATTATCTCACCACTTTGTGTTTAGTTACACAGTTGATACGTAAATAAGGTACCCTTCTCTAATTTTAAACCTTTAGACCAATGCAACAAGGTTCAGTCAGGTCATCTGGATGGTTACTTTTTTCTTTTTTTTTTTGAGACATTTTGTCCTTCATTCAAAGGACTTCATCAGTCCAAGGAGCCACAACAAACTCAGTCCCACAAGCAGCACACTCACATAGTGGACCAACCAGTTTGCTGGTGATAAGATGGTGTATGGAGTCCGTCCTCTCCCCTGTCAATTCCTCTGAGGTAGCCAAAGCCAAAATGGTTAAAAACATCAAAGTTCGTGCTCAATAATCCAGGTAGAAAATGCAACAAAGTTGAGTCATGTCATCTGGACAGTCTTTTTGTTTTAATGCTGATGAAATCCTTTGGATGAAGGATGAAATGTCTCTTAAAAAAAATTAAAAAAAACGTTCAGATGACCTGACTGAACTTTGTTAGATTTTTTTTTAACCTGGATTATTGAGCATGAACTTTGATGTTTTTAACCTTAAAAAAAAAAAAAAAAAAATTATTTTACCAGGAAGAAATCCATTGAGATTATTAATCTCTTTTATTAGGATGCCCTGGGATTTTGGCTATGGCTGCCTCAGAGAAGTCGATGGGGAAGAAGGCGGACTCCAGACACCATCTTATCACCAGCAAACTGGTTGGTCCACCACGTGAGTGTGCTGCTTGTGGGACTGAGCTTGTTGTGGCTCCTCGGACTGATGAAGTCATTTGGATGAAGGACAAAACGTCTAAAAAAAAAAAGTCCAGATAACCTGACTGAACTTTGTTGGATTTTATACCTGGATTATTGAGCATGAACTTTGATCTTTAGGCTAATGCTTCTCATTTGTCATAGTTGTGTAGACACAAATACCTTTTCTGTAATAAAACTTTTAAAAGCTGCTGCGCCTCATTTGTCATTGCCACGATGAGGCTTGACGTTGATCGTAATGAAGAGTGACCATGTGTATCACACTCGGGTGCCATCAGTCATGCTCAGCGTGCCTGATGCCAAAGTTATGCTCATTTAAACATAATTTCTGCCACAGCGAAACATTACTGTTCTGTAACAAATGGCAATATGTGGCTTTTGAAAACTGATGTTTGGAGCCTAGCACCTTGCGAACTTAACTTCTCTTTTTGTCTTTTTTATAAAAAATTTTTTTTACTTCTGCACCTGCACAAGGGTGTTTGGTTGGGCATACTTCCAAAGTTGTAATTTTAAATATGATGTGATCTCTCCCCCGCACAACGTGGGAAGGTAAAGCGTATCGACATCTACATTGAGTCTTCTTCAGGAATCAAACCTATATTTTTTTTATTTGTGCTGCCTAACAAGTGTTAAATGTCAAAAATCCTCCACCATCTGTTTACTTAGCATCCCCCAAACTTTAACTTTAAAAAAGAACTAAAAAGAAGTGGCCCATGAGGCTGTTTAGTAACACTAATTGTTGGCTAAATTGTATTTTTGCTCATTTACTTTGATTATTTGCTTCTTTAGATGATCAGCTTTATTACTTGTTAATAGATCAAACCTCACTCATGTCGACATGTTAAGAAGGAAGTCCAAGAATCAGAATCTGTTGGTTGAATGAAATGGGCACACTTTTTAAAACTGCTCGCTTCAACGCTTAGCTGAAGATCATTTTAGTCACTAGTTTGTGTTTTTTTATTTATTTAAAAGCCCTCATAGTTTCAAAGCCATTCTTTTTTTTTTTGTTGGCGTTTTTGTTTTCATCCTTCTCTTCCTACACCTTCTTTCATGTAAACACGATTCAAACAAAAATAAGTACAAGAACATCATATGGTGAGAAGCAGGTTTACCTTGAGCAGCCACTGCGTGTTGTTCTCCATGTTCATCTCAAGTTGCTCCAGCCTCTGAAGTGACTCGTTGTCTGCAGGTCCGTCCCTTTGATCTGGATCGTAGTAGCTGTTCTGACTTTGGCAGTTCTCTTGCTCTGGCAGCAGAAACGTGTAGCTGCACGGGCCGTTTTGGATCTGATATTGTCTCTTTCCAACAGCGCTGTGCCGAGTTCCCAGACCAAGGCAGAAACTTAAAACGAGTAAATCCACATTCAGCATCTTCAAAGCTTTTTACTTTAAAGATGATGGAAATTAATTTTCAAGGGGTTGTTCTCGTCTTCTCTAAGTGGTTAAATATGTTCTCAGCAGCATCCAAGTGTAAATAACTCTGTTGAGGTTCTGCAGATTCCTTTTAATATCTCTCGTTAGTAGGTGGAGAGAACACCATCAGGAATTTATGGTAGCGTGTCCTTTGGTGAGAGGTGCCAGACTGCATGTGCTTGCCTTTCATCAGTCCCCCAACCGCTTGCTAAAGTGGTTTAAACTTGCAAACTGTGAGGTTAAACCACTCCCCCCACCTCACTCATTGTGGCCAGTCGATGTGAAGTGGAGATTCCTTTCAGTACACGCCGAACAACACACAGAAGCAGACGCACAAACTACACATCCTCCACTACATCCTCTACAACACCCACGTGTCGTTCTCTGCCCCGGTGGAACAGCGACTCAGGATGCCGCTGTCCACGTTCTGTGCACTCTTTGATGGTAACAGCGTTCATCCCATTCATTGAAAACGAGTTCCTGATGCGCGGCGAATGCATGAGAGGCTTGAATGGGAGATTCAAAAGGATAAAGCATCAATTTCTACATATTTCCTGCAATAAATGTCTACTAAATGTGAAATGTAGGTTTTTGTGTTCATAATTTGTCCATAAAATCCAACTATCAGTTAATAGCTTATTCTTTTCAACAGAACTTTGAAGACATTTGTTTACATGCGGTCTTAAGTACAGCCTAACCTGTAAGAACGGTCATTTTTGTTCGATTTTAAACATGTTTGTAAGTTGTGGCTGTTTCCTGCGTCCTGGCTCGGTCACAGCCCCACACTACACAACCCTTCAATAGCCCAACAAAAACTGCATCACATCTACATTTACAGTAAATGTGATTTTATTGCTGATCAATATTTATTATTTAGAATGGTGTATTTTCCATTTTCGTGTAGTTTAGTTTAGTTTGCACAATTAAAATAGAGCTCAAGATATAAAAAAAAATAAATAAATAACAGTGCAGGAAGAGGCAGAAGCCCAATGGACTTATTTAAAGCCTCCACCCAAATAGGATAGAAAAAAATAATACAATCCAAGAATACAATCTCAATACAGTGGGATCGTAAATTTAGGAATACAATCATACAGAAAACAATAATAAAAAAACACATCTACAAAGTATTGATGGAAATTTGAATAAAATATGTAACAATTAAAATGTGACAGTCACAATTATTTAATTAATTAAAGTTTTAAATAACGTTTAAACTCTTTTACAGACGGCTTGCCTGTTACCAAATGTAAAAAAATCATTCAAAACTTTAGCTCCCCTGTAACGGAGAGAAAACTGACGTCTACTGGTCTGATATTTAGGACGATGAAGCGCTGGACTCTGGCGAGTTGAGTAAGAACAAAACTGCATATTTGATTTAAAGGAATGGGTGAAATGCTTTGGTATATCCTCTTGACTTACATAAATCTTATAAACAAAATACAAATTTGAAAAATGTTATAAATAGTACCAATCTGTAAATTCTTAAACAAAGGAGCAGAAGGACAATGATAATCTGATTGAGTTGCAATTCTAACAAATCGTTTTTGAAGACCCACAATTTTATGCAAAGTTGTGGGAAACGTACTTCCCCAATTTATTATGCATTGAGACAGATATGGGTGTATCAGACTATAATAAAGTGTAAGCAAGCATTCTGCACTGATATAATGATGAACTCTCTTTATTATACATTTTCTACAAACTCAATCCGTGTGGTCTTTCCACTTTAAGCTCTCGTCAACAAGAACGCCAAGAAATGTTGTTGATTATACTTATCGTATTGCAATGCCATCAATTAAATTTTTTGTACATTTTGCAAAATATGACATTTAACCACTAAATATCATAAAATTATTATTATTTTTTTTTTAGATTTAAATATAGTTTATTTAATCTAAACCTTGAAGCGTAGGCGCTCAAGCCAAGATTAGCATTTTTTCAAAAGTGAATCAAAATGTGAATGAGAAAGAAGCAGCATTGTATCATCAGCAAACATGATTGGTGAAAGAACATTGGAAACATTTGATAAATCATTTATGTAAATCAGAAATAACAATGGCATAAGTATGGAGCCTTGAGGAACTCCACAAAGTATCTTAGCTCTATTAGAATTGCTTCCCTTAAAGCGAACAAATTGCTGCCTATTGCAAATATAACTATTTAACCATCTGTAAACAATACCACGAAATCCATACTTATAAAGTTTTTGCATGAAGATATGATGATTCACAGTGTCAAATGATAAATCAATGAAAATACCACAGGGGAATTCATTATCTTCAAGTGCAGAGGTAACATCATCACACATAACATTTTAGGCTTGCTCTTATGTTGTCGGTAAGAGAAACAAGCATTTCCAATAGTCTTGTTGTACCTTAAAGGCTCATGTAGCTGAATTATTTGGCTGCGTATTGAAAAATTAATTTGAAACAGAAGAGAAAATCAAGTTAACGATGCAGCTTAAGAATTGTTCTAATTATCCCTATTTTAACCCGAATGCAGCTGGGAATATTAGTGAACAACCTGCAGTTTACCTTCCACAGAAATAGCTTTACATTCTTTTTTGACAAAACCAATATTATCTCGATGTGACCACTTTTCTGCGTCGACTACGACATAAATCATTGTTTGACGGGATTGCTTCAGATTTGCTCTCTGCAGAATTGTAGGAAGTAAGATGATGTAATTCATAGTGTATGAAGGAAATGAAACATATTACCAGAGAGGAAGGACTTAACGTCATTTCAAAAACACCAACTTTTTCAGGTGTTCGGGCTGAGTAAACGGTGCGTTTGTGTGCACCACTTTTTATATTTAAGTGGCATTTGAAAACACTGAGGGAGACGCAAAGGAGGAACAGTTATTCATTTAAGCAGACACCGCCTCCAGGGGCCATTCATCCATTTAATTTATCGTTTGCATACCACACACCGGACGATTTCCTCATGCTCGGAGCACGTGCAACATCTGCTGAACTGTCAAGACCATGCTGCATTTTACTATAAGGGAATGTCAAGTTAAATTTATTTTTGCATGGTTACAAGGCTGCAAAAACTGTCTGCCCGTTACCGCCGGCTGTCTGCTGTCTCGCTGCACCCAGCAAGATTAATGTTACTGTAAAAGTGTGGCAGCAGACATTGATCTGTTGGAGTAAAAAATTGAGGCTTTTTCCTCATGAATAATAAATTAGTTGATCCTGGCAGAAATAGCAAGTCAAAAATGAAACTTGTGTTGCATTAAAATGTGTTGAGCGACAGTGTGTTGAGATAGTGAAAGGTGTTTATTGAGCGGCGTCTGTGCAGATAATAAATAGATCTGTGGTGTCACTCTCCTTTATAAAAATTTGAAAGGGGTTTAAGCTCATTGTTGATTATTACTGTGTTTTTAGGTGCAACCAGCAGCTACATTCAGTGAAAAACACTAGACTAGTTTCACTTCACCTATTACTATAACTACTACTACTATTCAACTACTTAATGAACTCAGTGGGTCATTAAACAGATTAAGAGCCAGAGTTGGGGAGGAGTTGGAGTACAAAGCATTGGAAATTGTTGGAAATTGGAAACTGGTAATTATTGGACTTGGTTTGCTAAAGAATATGTGAGATCAAAGTTAAAGTTTCTTTATTTGTCGTTCCACCACATGTGGTACATGTGGTGGAACGACAAATGTGTACACGGTACCAGTTACATCCAACAAAAGTATAAACTGTAAAAGAAAAAGAAAAAAGATCTAATACTGTATATGAACTAAGAATACACTAAACTAAGGATGCACTAAGCACTAATAGTACAAAAACAATACGCCGAACAACAGCAGCACGAACATGAGTCTGTGTGAGCAGATGAGTACGAATGAACACAACAGCATGAAATAAATCAGCAGCATGAGATCAGCAACACATATCAACAAGCAACGTGGCATTACAGTGACTTTATTTATTTATTTTTACAGTGATTATCCTGATTAGGGATTCATGAGTCTGACAGCCTCAGGGTAGAAGCTGTTCCTCAGTCTAGTGGTTCTACACTTAATGCTCCTCAACCTCCTGCCTGAGAGGAGTGGGGCAAAAAGTGTGTGTGCTGGGTGAGTGGGGTCCTTCATGATGCAGGTGGCCCTCTTCCTGCATCTGGAGGTGTAGATGTCTGTGATGGTGGGGAGGCTGACTCCAACAGACTTCTGTGCAGCCTTCACCACTCTCTGCAAAGCTTTTCTTTCTGGAGCTGTGCAGCCTCCACGCCACACGTTGATGCTGGAGCACAGGATGCTCTCCACTGCACACCTGTAGAAGGAGGTGAGGACTGAGCTTCCCAGATGCAACTTAACAAAGTAAAATCATTTTTCAACTTCAAAATATGTAAAGTCAGTTCATATTAAGTTGCAAATTAAATACCTAAATCTTGGGCTAACAGCCTGATTCTGATTCATTCAAGCAGCCTAAAAAACACATTACACGAAAACCTAAAGAGTTCAAAGTCTAATTTATGAACAAGTTATATGACAAGAATAACAAAGTATTCTGCTTCTTCAACTTCTTGCTATCAGTAATTGGAAGTTCACTGCAGCATAAAAGTAAGTTTGATTCATGTACCATTAAACACAGACAGAAACTAAGATCATTAGGGGGCCACGGTCGATCGGTGTCAGTTCTGCGGTCTCATAATCCTGAGGTAACAGGTTCAAGCCCAGGCTGCATCAGGAAGGGTATCAAGTAGGGGTGGGCGATATGGCTCAAATATAATATTGTAATATTTCAGAGCATTCTGCCGATAACAATAAATTTTGTGATATAACGACAACAATAATAAAAACAGAAATCGTAGTTGTTCATTTGACAAAATTAACTTAACATGTTGCTTTGCAGTATTATATAAAAACTAAAAAAACAACAAGGGTTAATTTTACTGAAATTACTTTATTTAGTATTTAGTCTCAAAGTATAAAAATAAAAACGATCCTTCTGTTATTTAGATTGAAAACATCTGCACAAAATATAGATCAATAAATTCACCACAAAAACTAAAGTGCATGTGCAGTTTCCCAAAATAACTAAATAAAATGAAGCCTAAGATCTGTTGAGCATAAATGTAACCTACAACAAAATATGTTGCCTTTAAATGAGCTATAACTTCCACAAGTTGTAACAAGGTGATCAGCTGACCCTGAAGCTTGTTGGTGTTCCAGCTTCCTCTGTTCCTGCAGGAATGATTCATTTCTCTGATGCTCTGTCTCTGATCACCTGACTCTTTTCTTAGTCCATGGACTGTGGAGCTCAAGAGACACAGCAGAGCTGCACCTGTACCCACAGCAGGGTGGTGGGGAGGGAGAGACAGTCGAGCTGTGCACTGTCTGCACCCGCTGTTTAGAGCTGGGTGGAGAGACACAACTGAGCCACGCATTGTTTGTTTTTAGCTTTTTAGCTAGCTAGTATTGCGTGCAGCTAATTAACCAATACCGACGGGGGGTGGGGAGGGGGCAGTTCGGTTCGATAGTTCGGCGCGCTCGAATCTGTTAACGGGGTTAAGGTTACTTACGTCATGAAATTAGCTTATCATGATATAATTTATTTTTCCGGGCAAGCTTTTTTTTTTGTTAACCGGTATTATCATGAACGATATGATATGGCACAGTCCTAGTATCAAGCGCAAAACGGTTGCCAAATCTTTCGTGAGTTCGCTCGCTGTGGCAACTCTTGCAGAAAGGAGCAGCTGAAAGAAAAACTACAACAGAAATTAAGCTCATTCACAGCGGACTACTTGGGTCAGGTGGAGGAGTTCTGTGAATGCGACTAGTTTTGGTTTTTTTAGCTTACATTTGTTGAGTTTGTTTTGGGTTCAAAGCTTTGAGCTTTTTTGTTCCTCTCCCTTGAGCTGTTTCCAAGCACGTTTTGAGGCTTGATGGGGGCACATTGTCCAGCAGGGAGAAACCACTGTTGTTTGGGGAGTGCTGTTGCCATGGGGGGTGCAGGTCAAAGGAACATCTACATGAACACAAAGACCTGTGATTTACCACTGGATCACAGCACAACATAATCAGCATCGTTGATATCATCTGACACTGGTTTTAACGTTTCTTAACTTTTATTGCAGAACATGTGACGTGTACACTGCCACATTCATATGTGATGGGAGAATTTAGTTTTGGCAAATGTATTGTGAATTCAGCTGAAAGCCAGATATGAAATTAAGTTTATGCAGATCTAAACCACCATTCAGCACAGTATCAAGTAAATGTCACTTTGGTGATGCATCACCTTCGTACTTCTGACCAATCCTGAAGTCTGTCTGTGCACTGACAAAGACAAAAGTCCTCTAAGCCTATTTCCAATATCTGACTTGGAGAAAATTCTCTCCTTCAATTTAACAATTGTCCCTTGCTGAATACTGAACAGTGAGTTTTACAGAGAGCTTAACCTGTCGGTCACTAAACCGCAAAAGAAACACATCCCCAAAGAGACGTATGCTTTTATTATGTCAGGCAGGAGCTGAAAGGAATGTACTCCAGAACAAGAAGGGCTCAAAAATCAAACTAAACACATTAAATGGCTTAATACTTCTCTGTGAAATAATTTAAATTTGTCTTTCGAACAAATTTTCAAGATTCAACTGTATGTAAGAACAAACGTCTTCACGTTACTGACACTTGTTTTTCTTCTCAGGTGTTGCTGAGGCATTTTTTGTTTTCAGTTGTGAGGGAAAGCCAGATTAAGTTTGGACTGCAGCAGCCACCTTCAGGCCAGTTACAGTACTTCAATGCTGAAAAGGCTCCAAAGTGTCTTGTGTGTAGCTGTGACTTACTAATTAGGTTCATTAAGCAGGAACTTTATTGATCTTAATTGCTACTCTGGAAAACACAGCAGTTTTTAAAAACTGAAATGAATACATTCACAAAAAAAGCTATTAACAGCAAAGCAATGTAAATGTGTTGAATTTAAATAAAATATCTCCTTTGTTCTTGTTTTTCCTAAATTTATTATGCTAATTTTCATTATGACGAGCTTGAATTATTTATGACCTACATAAAATAAAGAGAACTTTAAATCTTGATTCAGTAGAACTACAAAGAGTCATTTATGTGGAGTTTGACAGTTTCCTAACAATCTTTATGAATCAGTTTTATTCTGTGTAATTTTGGATAATTGCTGTGTGAATAATTTATTGAATTTAGCACGATAAAAACTAAATGTGCCTCCTTGCAGTCTGCATAGAAGTTACAATTTATGTCTTCCTGTCTGTATTGTAATTCATTGGCTGTTCGCTCCGTCTCAAACTGGTTTTGTTGCACTGGTAGAATGGGAGTGTTTAAACTTTTACCACAGACCTTTTGCACTGAACGTGTTTTCATACGTCACAGTTGGTAAAACACAGCTGCAAATATGCCACGCGTCAGCATTATAAAAAGTTTATTTTCCTCAGTTTCACACTCATGGGGTTGTGTGTGCTGGCTGACGCTCATGATTTACTGATATACTGGAATATCTCGAGGCTTTAAAAAAAATATAACACCTGTGCTTTTTTTGACGTCACAAGTCGTAATATAGTGATGATAAACAATAAATGTTTGGTTTTTTTTTCATTTTTGATCAAGTCATATTCTGCTTTGCTCCACTCCTGATTAATTAATTAATTTGAGAGAACCTCTAAGTATTATATCATATTTAAAAATATAACTTTTTAAAAAAATTTTATGTGGCATTATAATTATTTCTGTTTAAAGTCTGTGACATCTGTTGTGACTAGCACCGTATTTTTCGGACTATAAGGTGCACCGGATTATAAGGCGCATTAAGCAATACGCCTGTTGCAATAAACAATAAATCAATTAATCGCATGATGAATGAAAATTATCTACCTCTTTTTCATTTACAGGCTTTATCGTGTCTTCATGTCTCTTTCTACTGAAGACACGGCTCAACTTCGGTGCTCTTCACTGACTCCTCCCTTTCTCTTTTCTCTTTAAAATCCATTTAACCGTCCCAAATCACGTTTCTGGATCGTTAAAAGCAGCTAAGCTACGAACTAAGCTAACAAGCTGACCTCGGGGGGGAAAAAAACCTCCGTCTTGTCGAGATCCAACATTCACTGTTTAAACCCGTGCCTTCGTGTAAAAAGTTGTTTTTCTCTGCAAAAAGAAGCTGAGAACTTGTTTACTGATTTTTTTTTTGTTAAAAGCTTTGTGTGAAAAATACTATGCTAAAGAGCTCAAATCACCAAGCGCACGCCATGTCACCATGTCAGCCCATATCTCGTCAAGGGCCCTCCCTCCCATTTTTCTTAAAGACACGCTGCTTGCTCAACTGCCCATCCTTTGGTTCAAAAAGTCTTACCAAAAAAGGTACTAGACGCAAAACAAATCAACATTTCTTTTAAACTCTGGCAATTAATTATTGTTAAATTTCAAACAATATTATCGTTTATCACAATATTTTTTTAGATAATTAATTTATCGCACCGGATTATAAGGCTCACTGTCAATTTTTGAGAAAATTAAAGGATTTTAAGTGTGCCTTATTGTCCGAAAAATACGGTAATTTGATATTTGAATGTCCTTTCTTTTTTTTTTTACTTCAAAAACAGATGCACATTATATACATCAAACCCACTCTAAAACTTTATTTTTATCACCCACCACCAAGGTGTGTTTGTGTGCCTGTCTGTTACAAAATATCTCACAAACCTCTGGACAGATTTTATTTTACTTGCAGAAAGTAATCATTGTATGAACGTCACTAACTGGTAACCTTTTGGAGTCAGCCCAGTTTAAGATGGCTGACCAAAAAAAAACAACACAAAAGTAATTTGTAACTCAGTCAGTTCTGCTGATTTTGAGCTAAGATTTAATGTGGTAGAAGCTGAAAATGATCCCCAACACGTATTCTAAGTCCATCAAATTGTGCGAGATGTTTAAAATTCTGCCATTACCGATTTATAGTCAATCATGTTTATCTATTTTAGTCTTTATGCTAAGTTACCTAACTATTTACAGCAATAAAGAAAAGCCAGAATCCTCATAAATGTAGCTTTTGTCACTTTAGTACAGTTTAACTTTGCTTTCTTGTACAGATCTGTCGTCTTCAGAGGCACCTGTCTGCAGGGGAGCACCAGCAGGACCTGTTTCAAAACCAGCCAGCCATGTTTGTATCGCAGCTCTCCCAGCCACCCACTCAGAGTCTGGTCGAGCTGATCGAGCTGTGCGGAGGAACAGTCTGCAAATCCGTGCGGCAGGCAGGCCTCTGCATTGGGAAGTACAGCGGCAGGAGACCAGAGGGATGCAGGATGCTGTCGGAGCAGTGGATTCTGGGTAAAACTGATTCTGCCAATCTCTGTGGTAAAAACAGTTCTTTCACATTTCTTAATTTTTCTTTTATTTTGTGTGGTTTCATTTCAGATGGCGTCACCAATCTGAAGCTGGAGCCATATGATGTCTACGACTTGGATTAACAGCTGGTCTTTATTTTGTCTGTAAAGTTCAGTGTTATCAGTTTTGTGCCGCACTAGACCTTCAGTTTAAGCATGAAGTGTTTCTTCTTACTGGTTTATCAAATGTTTTATTTTTTGTTTGTTTGTTTTCATAGATACTTTATTAAAGGTTTCATATGAAAACCTTTGACACATGACAAAGTACCGGTACTTTTACATGGTGCATCTCGGCCCTCTAATATTTTCACTTGTTTACAAGACTGTGATTTTTTTTTTTTTTTACTGTGAAGGTCAGTAAACTGTCTTTATGTGAATTTTTTGTTGCGTCATTTTATAATAAATGCCATTTTAAATGTAGATATGTTTATCTTAGACTTTTTTTGAGACTTAACAGATTAAATGCTTCAGTCATCTAAAAGGAATTCCATTGTTTTTACCAGCAAAATGACTTGCTTTGGGTTAAAATGGCATTACTGGGAGATTGTAAATGAATGGGTTAGACAGTTTCTGAGATCTGAAGTATGCATCATAAAAAACAAGAGTAATAAGGTCGTGCCGAACATGTTGCAGCAGAGTCTGATCGGTCTAAAGGACATTCTCAGCTCAATGTGCATTTTATAAACACACAAATTGTAAATATACTGCACATTCTCTGCTTTTCTGTCAGAATAATCTGTAGTGTTTACACATTTTACTAGACATGCTGGTAACGGTATATCTAATTTGAAGGGCTCCTCAACCCAAGGATCAGTGAAAATGAAGATGGGGTCAACTTAAACTCTTCTGAGAGATGAACTTAGAAATGAAAGGGATGAATCTGCCAAAGGCTTGCTTTTCCACCAGGGTGATGAACAACAAATAACCAGTTTTATGTGTTTAAACTTCAGAGATTGGAAGAGGAAAGTGATTTACTATGATACTAAGAAATTAGCAGTACTGTTTACTAAACTTTGGACACAACTACTAACCAGATAATTTCTCAACTGAAGATGATGTTGCAAGGTGGCAGGAGATTTGCTTTAAATATTAATAAAGCCTTAGTCCAACAAAGTTAAGTCAGGTCATCTGGACAGTTTTTCTTTTTTTTGTTGAAATGTTTCGTCTTTCATCCAAAGGACTTCATCATCCGAGGAGCCACAACAAACTCAGTCCCACAAGCTGTGGACCAACCAGTTTGAATGTGATAAAATGGTTTCTGGACTATTGAGCATGAACTTTGATGTTTTTAACCACTTTGACCATGGCTGCCTCAGAGGAGCCGACGGGGAAGAGGGCGGACTCCAGAAAACATATCACCAGCCAACTGGTTGGTTCACTAGGTGAGTGTGCTGCTTGTGGAACTCAAGTTTGTTGTCGCTCCTCGGACTGATGAAGTCCTTTGGATGAAGGATGAAACGTTTCAAGAAAAAAACGTTAAGGGCATGAACTTGGTTTTGAACCACTTTGGCTATGGATGCCTCAGAGGAGTCGATGGGGGAGAGGGTGGACTCCAGAAACCATCTTATCACCATCAAACTGGTTAGCCCTTTATGTGAGTGTGCTGCTTGTGGGACTGAGTTTGTTTAGGCTCCTCAGACATCTATCTAGGACACCCAGAGGAGCCACATGGTGAGGGTTAAGGGCCTTGCTCAAGGGCCCAGAGTGGGGCGAATGACGGTGGGAGCAGGTGTGGGTGCTTCGCCTTCCCCACCCACATTTTTGATGTTGTCGGTACTATATATATATATATATAATCAATCAAAACCATTTTAGGCCATTGTGTGTGAAAGTGTGTATACAGTATACTCCTTACTAAATACTACGAAATCATTTAAATGTAGATCTGATATTTTTTCTCGGTGGACGTGCAAACTATAAATATAATATGTATTTGTTTTAGATAAATAAAATAAAAAGGCCGGATGTGGGTGAAAAAGTAGACTTCCAGAGAAGCGACGAGTGTTAAAAAAAAAAAAAAAGACTTCCGACCACATGTTCCGTCACACCAAGCGGCGCTAAAGCTGCGCGCACTCCCATTGGCTGTCTCTTATGACGTCACTCGACCAATCAGCTTCGTCGATGCTTCAACGTGTTGTTACGTAGGGAGGTGTGTGTATGTGTGACATTCGCTGCTAGAAGCTAGGAGCCGGAGAAAAATGAACTCAGACAGGAAATAAATTCCACTTTTTTTCTTTTAGCAACTCAGCTCGCTTATTAGCTAAACTTTGTTATCGTTTCCGCATCAGAAAAGTGAGTTTACAGAGGAGGACAAAACTTTTTAGTCTGTTTTAAGCAGGCTAAACTGTCGGCTAACGCTGTTTTGTACAACTTGTGCATGTGTTGTGGGGAGTTCGTGTTGAGGTCATTTTCCGGTCTGTTCTAAAAATGGTAATGCTAACCAGATGAGTTAATTCTATACACATGTGTGGCAGTTTAAGCTTTCCAAACCTCGTTTCGCTCACAAGGTTAAATTCTGCTTTCTTTTAGCAGCCTTTTCTCACTTATGCTGACCTCGTGGAGCAGGTGTGCTGAAAGTAGGCCAGGTGTGCTGTGGTGTAGATAGGGGTTTCTGTCTTTTTTTTTGGTCGAGTCGACTTCAGGGATTTGTAGAAGAGGTGCAAACATGCTGCTGTCTCTGGTTGTGCACACATACTCGCTGCGGTACTGGTTTCCAGCCACAGTGATGCTGGGAACAGCCCCAGCTTATCTCCTGTCCTGGGGGGTTTGGAGATTGCTCTCGACGGTCCTACCAGCAAGACTTTACCACAGAATAGACGACCGGCTGTACTGCATCTACCAGAGCATGGTCCTGTTCTTCTTTGAGAACTACACAGGAGTGGAGGTGAGTGAACTCACTTACAAATCATGATGAGTAAAGACTGAGCTGATGATTACAGTTGGTTACTATATCACTGAGGCATTATTATAGACCTGCAGCAGACGTGCCCCTGCAAAAGCCTGTTTTTGCAGCTCAAACCAGCAGTTTTTCCACATACACACCCATGCAAAACATTCACACCCCTATGCATTTGTGAAGATTTCTAATCTTGAGCTTAAAGCCACACATTCAGATTCTCAAAAGTGGTCTGGAAGAACCAGTTGCATGGCAAGAAAGACTGCATTTTGTTGCCATGTCGCACCTTGCACAGCCCGTACGTTAGGGCGTGTTTGCAGTTTGAAAACTTTAGTGTTTTAATGTAACTTTGGTCGAATGCACGGATCCCTCAGCTGAAAGCTGCATTACAAGACAAGTTAGAAAATTTCTTGACTTCTTCGTTTTCATAATGATGGACAGAATAGGGCCCATAGTAAATCAAAACCTTGAATCAGTTGGAATTAATATTTTTTAAAGAAAATGCAACTTTACAACACTACACAGATAAATTTTGTTGGTGCCCTTTCACAATAATCAAACACAACTGATGTGACTGGAACCAGAACGCTCCAGTTTTGTCTCTTCGATCCCAGAAGGTTCCCTCATAAATGTTGGGGATTGCCAACATGCATTTGAGCAAATGCCAGTCTGTTTTTGTTTTTCTGTCAATAGTGGAGCTTCATCTGGGTCTATACTTCCGTGGAGCCCTTTTATGATTAAAAAAGGACGGATGGTGAAATCAAGTGATGTACCTTGACCTTTGAGTTCAGCTTGAATGTTTTCGGTTGCCGTCCTTGGCTCGATTTCTACCATCCACACTACTTTGATCAACATGGGGTTGCATTTACTCTTGCATCCACATCCTGGGAGGTTGGCTACAATCCTATGAGCCTTATACATTTTAATAATAATCACAGCTGTGGTCACAGGAGCATGAAGCTGCTCACAGATGGTACCAACAACATGATCTACGTCTGTGTAACAGTTTTGCAAACTAGGGCGACTCCTCCTGTACTTTTGTGTGCTCTTCCTCTGTAGATTGTCATATACGGAGATATACCAAAGAACAAAGAGAATGTGATCTACCTGTCGAACCATCAGTGTACAGGTAGCATGTTTTAAACTTCTAGTTTTTAAAAGTCAAACGGGGTTCGGTTAGAAAAGCCTAACCTCTTCTTTCCTTGCAGTTGACTGGATCATCGCTGACATGCTCGCCATCAGGCAGAACGCCATCGGTCACGTCAGATACGTCCTCAAAGATGGACTCAAGTGGCTCCCGCTTTACGGATGGTATTTCTCTCAGGTAATGCAACTGTGTGAGTATGAAAGTGTTCTTTTCAAATCAGCAATGGGGAATATATCTTGCAGTCCTTATTAGGCTTCTGTCCTGTTAACTTTTCTTTTTCTTTTAGCATGGAGGAATCTTTGTGAGGAGGAGTGCGAAGTTTAATGAAAGGGCCATGAGGAAGAAGCTCCTCACTCAGACTCGATGTGGAGCTCCTGTAAGTATTAACAATGGCAGGTAAATGTGTCTCCACTTGAGCGGTGGCAGATATGAAACGTGCTTTTGTGAGGTCTACAAAAGTTTGTATCTGTTTAAAGTATAGAGTTTTAAGCAACAAACAATTTTTAGTGATTTTGTGCCTGACGTATAAATATTTTTTAATGTCTAAAGGTAATTAAAGCTTGTTTTATTATTATTTTTTTATTTTTTTTGTGGGAATTTAGCATGTTTCAATTGTTCAGTTGTTGCTCTCATTGTAGGAACGTGTTTAAATTAACGCAGTAACTGTTTTAATTGACTTCTCATTAGACAACAATTTACTTTATTGTTGCAAGGTGGTTGTGGTTAAATGTTCATCGGTGTAAGCAGCAGAGGTATGAGTGGTTTTGTGTTGGGTGGTAATTTGCTGAGTCAGAAGTGTAAAACAGAAGCTTTGTTGTGAAGAAAATATCTCAAATTTAACGTTGGCTCAAATGTTTTTTTTTTTTTTACATCAACAAGAATCAGGAAAGCTACAGAGAAGTTGTGAAATGACACTCATAAGCACACGTTTAAGGCATTTTAACAGTGTTTGGCTAAATGAGGCACACAATGTTGCTTTTTTTTTTCTAAAAACAAAAAGTTGTGAATGCAGTGATCGCTGCTGGAAACAGTTTTCATTCTCTGAATATTTTCCAGGAGATGAAATGGAAAGTTTCTTGTATGCCTGAGTAAAATGATATAGTTAAACATGACTTCATGATTTAGATACGAAGAGTTTAAAAAACTCGAGTAAATTTTATTTTCCGGCTCACTTGAAGTTCAAACAGAATTTAAAGCATTCAACACTGTGCATCAGGAGTTTTTCTATTACACAGTTCCTGTTCAACACAAAAACCTTTGCCTATAAATGCCTTGAATGTTAGAAAACTCCTTTTCACCCAATGACGAGCTCCAACGCTGAGGTTTGTAATGTGTGTTTTCTGTTTTTCTCCCCCACAGATGTACCTCGTCATCTTCCCAGAAGGAACCCGGTATAATCCAGAGCTCAAGAACGTCATCGTTCAGAGTCAGGCTTTTGCTGCAAAAGAAGGTAGACGCAGGATAACAGCCACTTTATTCTGCAGCTGCATACTGATTCAGTACAACACGCTCACGTCTGTAAAACAGCTGACTAAGATTTGTTGTGCAGCGTCGGCATTACCTGCATACAAATGTATAAACCCCGCAAACTTAAGTTTATATTAAAATTATAGATAGCAATATAGATATCATAATAATATAGATTGAAAGTTTACCTAGAGAAATTGCATTTCCTGTGACAATGCAGTGTGACTGCTTATTGCAGAAGAACTTGCTGAAAAACAGCTGAAAGTATCCACACAAACAAAAAAAACATTCTGAAATGTAGCTGAAATGGAAGAACAAGCATAAGTTAGTAGAAGAAATCAGAAAAAACACATATTTTATGAGTTAGGTTTAAATAAGCAGAAATGAGCGTAAGAGTTAGGAAATTTGAAAAAAAAGCTTCAATTAGCAAAAAGTAGCAGAAAAGGCATAAAGAAGCTTAAACTACCAGACGGAAGCAGAAACTGAAATGAGCCCAAAAGATGTATAATTGGTGGAAAAATATTAAGTTAGCATAAAACAGCTAAATAGTAGCTGAAATAGCAGAAAAGGCTGAAAGTAGCAGAAATGACTTGAAAGGAGCATAACAAGCTTAAATTATCATAAAAAATTTAATTAGGCTTAAAGTAGCTGAAATAGCCACGCAAATCTTGAATTTATCTGAAAACAGCTTAAATTAGTTAAAAAATGCTAAAGAAAAAAAGGTAGCTGAACAGGTAGAACAAGTGTAAATTAGCAGAATGGATCTCAATAGTGTGACCACACTATTCACACTATTAGGTCGAAACCAGAAAGTGAACTTAGAATCAACTTGGACTCATCAATCAGCTCTTTTTTTTTTTTTTTTATATCCAGAGGACCAGATTTAACTTTTTTAGATGAACTTGTAGTTTTTTTCCCCCCCTTAAACTTGTTTGAATATAATTAAAGGTGCAATGTGCACAGTAATTACTTTTCTCCAATCTTTCACTCCAGTATCAACTGGCAGAAAAAAATAACTATATTAATATTATTAACTGAATGAAATGATGGCAGGAATTTATTGTCTTCCATCAAAGCTGTCTAATAAATATTAGTCTGTGCAACTCAGAGGTTTGAAGCATAACTGAGTAATTAAATGCTTTTCCTTTTTTTTAATGATCTATCACTATTGATCAATCTCAGCCTCTGGAGAAATTAAGGACATTTCAATGCTTACTAACAAGGCTAAAAAAACAGTGTTCAGTAGTTTTTCTTCAGCGGGAGGAAGTTAAATTGTGTTTGTATTTTGCTGCAAATTGCATTTGTTAGATTGGTAAATATATGGTGCTTAAATGCAGTCTGGCATAATGTTTGGCCGTTCTGCTGGACTCTAAATGTCACCCCCTTTAATCTAAATAAATCACTTGAGAGATGACACGTGCTGTGAGTGAGGTATTGGTGAGCAGGGAACTGTGCCACTCTGACCCAAGTTTTTATTTTAATATTTAATGTATTAGAAAGTTTCTGCCTTTGTTTGTCAGCTTTGTGTCGTTTCTCGTGTTGCTTATTTTACTAGAACGCTTTAAATTTGCACAGCGGTAAAGTATGTTGTCTCTTTTTCACAGGACTGGCTGTGCTGAAGCACACCCTGACACCCAGGGTGAAGGCGTTCCATATAGCCATGGAGATCATGAGGGACGACCTGGACGCCGTGTACGACGTCACCGTGGCTTACGAGGGGACGCTGGATAGCTCCGGTCGAAGAAGACCCGCTCCATCAATGGCAGGTAAGTTTGAAGCACCGCCTGAGGTTTCAAATCAGGAATTGCACATTAGATAAATCAAAATGTTGCACAACTTCACCATTATAAAAACAAAAATCTCCCAATTTGCAAGTCTTAAAATAATGAAAGACTTTGATTTTTTTTTTTTATATATATATATATATATTGAAATTACAACGTTTGGGGGAGAAGTGAAGATGGAGGTTGTAATGTTGTTCTTACTGTGTTTCCTCTTCAACTGGAAAGTTGTTTGGACTTCCTGTTACATCATCCCAGTATTTAAGAATAAACATTTAGCTGTTTGTATAGCACTTTTTTTTTTAAACAAAGTGCTTCACATTAATCAATTAAAACATCATAAATGACACCAGAAACACAAAAAAGTATACCAAATCAATTAAAATACATAACAATATAAGAAAAAAATAAAAATACGAAGAAATCTCAGATATTAAAAGCCTTATTATACAAGTAAGTTTCAACTAATTATTTAAAAGAAGACAATGAAGAGGCCTGTCTAATATTTGGAGGAAGAGCATTCCACAAATTGGGAGCCCTGACCATAAAAGCCCTCCCTCCTTCTGTCACCAGTCGAGCTCTGGGAGTGGAAAGTAATAATTGATTCAAGGACCTGAGACTGCACGAACGGTTATATAAGAAGCTCCGCAAGGCCATTCAGGGATTTAAAAACAAACAATAAAATGTTGAAGTCAATTCTAAAAACCACAGGGAGCCAATGCAATGAGGACAGAACAGGAGTGATGCGCTGATATTTATGGGATCTTGTGAGAACTCTAGCTAGTTGAAGACGATTGAGAGAACGCAGCAAGCGACATAATGGAGCTGGAAAGTGTTAAACAGGAGAACTCTCTCTACAAAGCCAGCGCAGTGAAACCTGCTGATGTGTGTCAGGTCAGGTGCACGCTCGGGTCCAACCAGCTGGTTGAAAGAGGTCAAAATAAGTCCAGTTAAGCTTCAGATGGACAACCGGATCATCAGCCGCGCGCGTCCGCTGATTGTTAAAAACTACAATAATCCGCTGACTCTTGTTAATAAACATGAAATCTTATATCTTCCTTTCTTTGAAATAAGTTTTTAAAACTATAATGTCAAAGTGATTTGCTTACAAAAGCAGTAAAAGCTTTCTTTTTTTTTCAGGTTCGAGCCTCTAATTACAGTTAATTAGTTTGGTCGGGCTCGGGCCGGGTCAGATGTTTTTAGGCCTGAATGCAACTCCAATCCTAGTGCAGCACTTTGAAAGAGAAAAGGGAAAATAATATCATGAATATACAGTACTAAGTTTTAAAACTATTTAATTTAAGGTCTTTAAAAATTATTTAAGATTTGACAACTTTTTCACTCATTTTAGTCTAGTTCTTGTACCAACCCCCAAAAATCAGAACCAATGCTGTCTTTGTGGCAGAGTTTTTAGGTGCAGTGTGCCTAAAATTTTGACATTAAATTGTTTTTGTGTCAACAAAACATTGGCTCATCCCTTCGTTGTTTTGTTTATATGACTGTGAGATTCATTGTTTAGTCAACAAACAAAACGTTCCTCTGAAAAAAGTCCGGTTTAGGTCTAAAAATAAATAAAAAAACTTTTTGAAAACCTGAAAAAATATTGATGAAACCCTCCACATAAAACAAGAAAGTCTGGCTGCTATTTTTATAAATGTCAAATAAAAACGAACTTGCAGACGGTCGGCTACCGGCAGCTTTATTCTCCGATGTTCCTCAGCGTAAACACCAAAATCCATAAACACTTTGCTGTATTATCCACCCTGCAGCATTGTGGCCAGCCTTCCTGGTAATTAATCACACAACAAACACCTTTTAACAACTTCCTGTAAACTGCGTGACTCTGTGTTTTCAGCGTCTCTGATTATTGTGTTTTCCTACCTGTTTGACGAACTCTCTCTGAAATTTGGAATAAAAAACAACAACAGTAAACATGGCAAAGAATGGAAAAAAAACATTCCCCTTGTCACGCATTTCCTGGAATCATGCGGCTAAGGTGACTCTGGTGACTTCTCGGGGACGTGGAAGTGACCTGCGCCTGCTTCCCGGATGCCACGTTTTGTTCACTCGGAGGCTCTAAATGTGGCGTTTTAAGTAATCAAATAACAATTTACTGTTGAGCTTTAAAAAATCTAATATCTTTATATCTCTTTGGGAGCAGTTTCCACTTGTTTTGTTTGTTTGTTGTAAATTAGGAAATGTTTTGTATCATCCCCCAGTCATTTTGGAATGGACCTCCGGTTTTTAAAAAAAAACATGTTGCGCATTTTGAAAAAGCAATTCAAGAAACAACTTTTCTCATTTTGTCAACTAAAAGCTAAAATGATGCAAGTCTGCTGTGCTTCATAGGTCGATTTTGTCATTTTATCAGCCCCACCATACTGAACAATTAGACCAATCTCTAAACCCTTTAGTCTTGCTAAGGTTTTTTTTTTTTTTTAAATGATAAACTCCCAAGTCAAGAAGTATTTGGTTTATTTTAACATCTTACCTCTCCATCAATCTGGTTTCAGAAAGCAAAACAGCACAATGTCTGCTTCGCTGAAGGTTTTTAATGATCTTGTTGAAGCTTTGGATGCTAAGGACTATTGTACTGCACTTTACTTAGACCTGTCTGAAGCTTTTGACACTATGGATCATGACCTCTTATTTCATAAACTCTCAGAAATTTGTTTCTCAGATCACACCATTGGTTGGTTCTCTAATTATCTCTCAGATCAGAGGGAATGTGTTCAACATAATGTGACTTCTTCCACTTATCTAACTGTTTAACAATGGTGTACCACAAGGTTCAGTCTTAGGCCCCACCCTCTTCACAATCTACATAAGTAAAGCGGGTCAGACCATTCCTGATGCATCCTTACATTTCTATGCTGATGATACAGTTGTTTATTGTCGAGATAGAACAGTTGCTATGGGATGTTGTTTTCAAACAGGAAGTCAGTCCCAGCAGTCCTTCCTTCTATTTTGTCTTTGAATGGTGTCGATTCTTACAAATACTTTGGTATTTTGGTCGATTCGCATCTCTCTTTTAAGCTTCGTATTGAAAACTTGGTAAAGAAACTAAAAGTAAAACTGGGTTTCTTTTTCAGAAATAGATCTCACCTATCTCTGAACCTAGGAAACACCTTTTAACTGCTACATTACTCCCCTTCATTGACTATGGTGACATTATTTACATGAACGCTCCTACAAGCACTCTGCAGATGCTGGATGCTGTCTATCACGGTGCACTAAGATTCATAACTGGCTGTAACTACCGTACCCACCACTGCACCCTGTATTCACTGGTTAACATCATTAACTTCACGCAGACTCTCTCACTGGTACATTTTCATCTTTAAATCACTTCTTGGTCTGCTGCCTTCAAACATCTCCTCCCACATGTCACTCTGTGAGTGCAGCTACAGCGTGCGCTCTCAGGACATTATTACCTGCAGTGTTCCCTCTGAGGACTGAACTTGGCAAAGGACCTTCTCCTACTCCGCTCCTTTTTCCTGGAATGTCTTGCAAAAAGATCTGAAGCTCTCCACCCTGACCTCTCTAAGGGATTTTAAACAACTGCTAAGCTCATGGCCAAGACCAACGCAGACATGTTCCTGTTTTTAGTATTTTACACCGCTTTATAATGTAGCTGTTTTTTGTTTTGTTTTTATATCATTTCTTCTATTTACTTTTTTCATTTTATTTGCTTTTTATATGATTGTCTACTGGTGTTTGTACCTCATCTGTGTTCTTTGTTTAAAACGGGTCTCTCTTGTAAATGAGTCCTCGAGGCTCAATGAGACTAACCTGGATAAAGGTTGAATGGATTTTACATTCAGGATAAAAGGCAAATATTTGAAGGAATTTAATTAATCTTAAAATATAAATGGCTGCCGGCTTTAATAGCCTTTGGTTTCTGTCTGCTCTGACCCAGGGTATTTTAGGCTTTATTCAAGTTTATAAAGAGGATTTGAATCATGAGGCGATGCTTGGCACTCCAGAGCAAAGAGTTTATTTCCTCCTTCTGTTCCAGGTGGTTGTTTTTAAAATCTGTTTTGGAGCATTGTTCTGCTCGGACTTGCTTGACCCGCTGTGGAAGTTTAGCTTTCTTCAGTATGGTCAGCTTTGTGTTGGTGCCAAACACCTTTCTTGCTGAAGTGATGTGTTTTGACCGTGAAAGCATCTCTTTACTTTCTGCAAGTATGAGGAAGAGAGTGACTGACTAATGCAGAACTGTAGCTTTTTCAGGTGGTGTTTTTTTGGGTCAGTAAATGTCTGTGCACCTGTCTCACAAAGGTAATCATTAAACTGACCCATGCTGTCTGTGGTTTAAATCTTCGCAGCAGCCGATGGAGACGGTTTCTTCAACAGTCGAGCAATCTTTCTCAGCTATCTTGAATCAGGTTTCCTCTTTTGGCCTCAGTGCCACACTTCCTGATAATATCGCATGTTGTGGAAACAGGAACTTGAAGGTCTCGGTGGGGTACACATACAGCCTTGAGCTTTCACACTTGCTTACATTTTTACGTTGACCTTCTCAGACACTTTGGTTTTGTTTCTTCTCTTATTGACTTGATGGTTCATTTTGTCTACAGGCTGTTTCTAAAAGGTGTTGCTGATGTCAAAAAATAGATTTACCATACCATACCATTTTATTTATAGAGCACTTAAAACAGCGACAAGGCCAACCAAAATGCTGTACAGACAGAACAACAGGTAACACACAAAGCAAAATACAAAAT